CAACTTTTGGTCAATTCAAAAAAAAACGCTGGTCAGCCAATACCTTTGGAGGAAGAAGAGGGAAGGGGAAGGAACATCTTTTAAGATGGCTACTAAAGAGCTGGGCAGTGGTGGCGCACGCCTTTAATCCCAGCACTCGGGAGGCAGAGGCAGGTGGATCTCTGTGAGTTCAAGGCCAGCCTGGGCTACAGAGTGAGATCCAGGACAGGCTCCAAAACTACACAGAGAAACCCTGTCTTGAAAAACCAAAAAAAAAAAAAAAAAGGATAGCTACTAATTTCTCCCTCTCAACACCACCTGCAATGGGCTGGTCTCTCTCATGTCAATCATTAAGAAAAGGCCCCACAGACTTGCCCATAGGCTAATATGGTGGGGCATCTTCTCAGTTGAGGTTTCTTCTTCTCTCTATATGGTTCTAGATTGTGTCAAGTTGATAAAAAGAGCCAACTAGGACACTTTATTTAATTGTTTATTTAGACAGGCTTTCACTATGTTACCCTGGCAAGTTTCAAACTCACAAATCCACCTGCCTCTGCCTCCTGAGTGCTGAGATTAAAGGTGTGCCACCATACCTGGCTACGTGTGTGTGTGTGTGTGTGTGTGTGTGTGTGTGTGTGTGTGTGTGTGTATGTGTGTATGCGCGCGCGCGCGCGTGCGAGCACACACACATGTGCACATTTGTGGGTGGGTGTCTACAGAGGCCAGAAGAGGGCATCGGATCCCCTGGAGCTGGGGTTACAGGCAATTGTGAGCTGCTTGATGTGGGTGCTGGGACCTGAACTCTGGATGAGCAGCACGTGCTTGTCACTGCTGAACCTTTCTCCTGCCCCATGCTCACAGACCTCTCTTCTCATTCAGGTAGGCGTGGCTGAGTGACTGCTCTCTGGAGAAGGAAATGCAAACTAATCCTGTCTTGTGTCTGATGGAAGCACCACCTGCCCTCCCTACAGGCTGCTCCAGCCCGAGGTGGTGCAGAGACCAAGGCCCATGGGAAGCAGCTGACAGTGGAAGGGAAGAGCCGCAGCAGAAGGATCCTGGCCCCCCACGACAGAGCAGCCACCGCGCCAGCCCTGGTGCACCACCTTTCACACATGGCTCAAAGCCTTCATGGTTGAGGCTGCAGCAGTCTGTCCTGCATCATCACTAATTCACGCACAGCCACTGGAAATGTGAGCATTTCCTGCATCACTAGTTCTGACCCGGATTCCAGAAAGTGACAAGGACAGAAACAACTTGACTCCACATTCCTTCAGGACAGGAGTCTCTCTTTGAGGTCAGCAATGTGGTGGCAAAAGTTCTCTCCTTTTCCAAACTGGACGAGGTAGTTGTGCATTCCTAGAGGCCAGTTTTCTGCTGTGGAGAAACAATGGAGACCAGCTGTAAATATTCTCAAGTGCAGAACTGTCTCCACCCACAGCACAATTCCCCCAGGAAACATTGTTGCTGAATGCTGGCCATTTCACTAGCACCAAATAAAGCTTTTTATCTCCTCACTAGACACAAGAGTCCAAGTGCACAGACCCTGAGAGTCAGCTCAACAGTTTCACACAGGCATAGAAAATGATATCAGATTGTTTTCTTGGGGTACACATTTCTGAAAGGACTAATGGGTCAGGAGTGGTGAGGACACATTCAAGTTGATATAGAAAGGTCCCATGGGACTGGACTTGACTTGGCTTGGCTCATATAGGATGTGTCTCTTGCTCCAGTATCTCAACCCTAAGCAGAATTCTTATTCCATGATCAGACTGCTTCTGAGGAAGCAATTCTGCTGTCGATCTGCACAAGAGGAGATCTTTCATCCCTGAAGCTCCTTAAGAACTAGAAAGGGAAAGATAGCATCAGAAGACTGGATATTAGAAACCGCCACCATTGAATAATAACGCAGGGTGTTCCCCTCTCAGGAAAGGGTTTTCCCGTCTATCAAGGATGAAGGACTGTCCTTCAGTGTTTGTGTCCACTAATGTCTATTCTTTGTATTAATAGATTTCCAGCTTGCCAAGACTGATGAAGGCTTTCCCCTATGCCTCAATTTCTAGGCAGCCAAGCCTTGATATTGCAGATAATCCGTATACTGATAAAGGAACTGTTTATTTAGAAATTATGTTGGGGAGAACAACTCACTGAACAGAATAGGCAAAATCGTCAGAGTCCTGGAAGGCTGATGTCCTATCTCCTGCTGCCTGACTCAGTCCGCACCATCCAAGCCCAGGAGGGAGAGAGGGGCCCAGGTGTACATGCCCCTCAGCTTAAGCTAGCCCCGAGGCCATGCCCTAGGGGCTGGTACTTCAACGTCAGAGGTGGAACAGGTACCCACTACACCTTGACTTGTGGATTTCCTCCCCTCCACTTTCTCCCTGCACACCAGCTCACAACTGCCATGTAAGAAGGCAGGAATGTCAGTCAGGTTCCCTTTTTGGCTCTCAGATACTCCCTTGTCTCAGCACTTGCAGAAAATGCAGCTCTGTCAGGGAGGTGGCCACCTCTTCTCTTGTGAGCCCTATAGCCAAGGATCTTCTCCACCTGCAGGAGTTCCCATAAAGGAGGCTGGCAGCTGTCACTTGCTCCTGACTAGCAAGTAGCATCTGGGATCAAAAGTATGGCAGACACAGGCTCAAGATGGTCCATGGTATCACCTGCTTGCCAAAGTTCAGGTAGCCCCTAGCCTTTCGCTCTTTTTTTAACAAAAAAAGTTTGGAACATACCCAAAAGTAGACATGACTGCATGTCTCCTCTGCCAGTCAGCAGGTTCCAACAAATGTGAACTCTTGGATGATCTTATTTCAATGAAAGCCCCTTCAGTTCCCTTTCCAGCTCTAAGGTAATTCTAAGGTAGGTCCTAGACATGGCTGTATTCATCCGTAGGCCATTCCACATATTGCATAAAAAACATGTACACATCAATGATACCATCACACACTACAAAAATTGCAAGCATTCCTTCATCTCCACAATGCACAGCCTACCCACAGCCTGTGACCAGACATACACCTTCAGAATGTCTTTTTGCAATTGTTAAGAGTCCACAGAAGGTCAACATATTTGCTCTGTGTATCTCTTGTATCTTTGCTCTTCTAGGGTGTTCTCTCTCATTTGAAGATAAAGTGTACTTAGTCATTAAAGAAGCCAGGTCATTTTCTAAAAATTCATATATGTTGGGCTGGCAAGATGGGTCATCAAGTTAAAGTACTTGCTGTGCAAGCCTGAAAATATGAGTTCGGTCCATGAAACCACATAAAGGTGGAAGACAGAACCAGCTCCACAAAGTTGCCCTCTGACCACCACACAGGTACATGGGGGCATCATGCATACCCCCACAACACACACACACACACACACACACACACACACACACACACACACACACACACACACTAATAACAAGTCAATTTTTTAAACCTATAAGTGATCATCAGGTACTCATAATGATTTTAAGTTTCTGCTCTGCTTGGCAATTATAACAAGTTTAATCATTCTCTTCTCCCTAATAAAAAAAGAATAGTAAAGAGCCAAGTGTCAGTAAGTGATTGAGCCTGTCCCCCCCCTCCGACTCTCACCTGAGTTCTGAAACTCACAAAATATTACCTTTGTTTTGGATTATAAGTGGCATGTTGTGAAAAATAAAAGCTGTTTTCTCTCTGTGTGTCTTATATCACTATATAACCCAGACTGGCCTGGAACTCACGGCAACAGCAATCTTCCTACTCCAGCCTTTTACGTTCTGGGATTACAATGTGAGTCCCTATACCTCTCTTAACCCTTTAATGACTCAGTTTACTAATCTGTGAGATGGGGCAGCCTCCGAGTCTGCCTCACATGACTGCCAGAGTTCTTTAGAACAATCACAGCTGTTAACCTCAGCTCAATGCCTTCCCATCCTGCATATTGTAATATGAACAAAAATCCTGGCTGTAAAACATTGGGACTTCTATTAGTGAGGGTAGTGTGAAATCCTCCATTCTCTCCAGGGTTCTAAGTTATGGAGGAATCCTGACAGCACTCAGCTTTTAATGAAGAGAGGTCAATTGTCCTGCACATGAGGTTCAGCATAGTAAATGGTTAAACAGTGTCCCTGGAGTCCTCCCAGAGGTCCTGGGAGAGCCACAGGGGTCATTCAACACAGTAGATGGTTAAACCCTGTCCCCAGAATACTCCCAGTGGCATCTTGGAAGAACCATGGGGGTCCTTGAGTTCCAAAGATTCACCTTTCTGTCAATCATATCAGCAACTTTCCAGGTCCAAAAGCAGTGGAGCGTGTGCAGCTAGGTGCTTGTGTGTGGAGAGGGGTCTCCTCCATTTCTGCCTGCTGAAGTGAGAACAGACTCAGAGGCTGTCCCTGCCATCCCACCCTCTACTGTGTAGGAGGGAGGCATTGCCAGAGCATCATTCAGTGACAGGTGCTCTAAGCCTGCTTAGGAAAGATGTTCGGTCAGCTGCCTTCTGGGAGCATGTGTAACCTCTGGGTGGCTGCACCTCTGAGCAGTCACCACCTGCTGCCCACCAGAGTCTGTCTGGGATACCTGCTCTGAAGGCACCAGGATTTGGCCAGTTTCTGAAGATTTCCCCCATGCCTTCCAGGCCCATACCCAGTTCTCTCATAGAGCAACGTGTGAACAGGAATCTATCAGCAACTGAGGCTTTTCTGGTGCTTGGATCTGGGCTCCTAGAGAAGTGGCCTAAAGAAAGAGGTATCCACAGAGGAGTCTGTCCTCTGCCCTCCCCGCACCTATCTCCATTTCTCTCAGCCCTAGAGCAGGCATGCGTGGTTTCTACCCGGGAGCTGGATGAGCTATGATCTGTTTAGTCTTACTGTTTCAGGACAGACAGGGGAAGGTTGTAGCCAAGGACTTGAACTTAAAAACTTCCCTGTCCTGAGTCAGCCCTCCACACACTGAAGTAAGTGGGAGGCAAGGGACTTCTGTCCCCAAAGCACAATGCCCCAGTGTCCAGTGACTCAATCACCCTTTCAAGAAGTTACAATCCTCCCTCTTCAGAAGGATATGGGTGAACAGAGGGACTTTGATGGCACACATGTGGCTCAGAAAAAAGACACCCAGCTTCTGGCAGCCGATAGCACGTCAAGTCAGAGACTATCCCTGCAGAACCCCAAAGAACGGGATCCAGCAGACACTGAGGGCAGAGATTCAGTGTGTGAGAGAGGAAGGTATTGGGAAGAAACAGATTACATAGAGTTCCCCAAAACCCCAGGTCACAGGGAGACACCAACCTGGCCAAGAGCAACCTCTATGTCCCAGGTTCCCTGAGTCCAGAGTCTCGGTGTCTGTTTCACCTTCAGATAAAGAAGAATAAGGCAGAAGAGAGCGGTTAGTAGATACTGATTGATTGATTGATTTAGTGACTCACTCAATGCGCTGCCTATATTGCCTATTTGCCAAGCATTACTTCACTTGCTACCTGGAATAGAAAGTTCCAGGTAGAGAAGTGCCTGAGACAACAGATCATTGACCTTAACAGTTTGCTGACTGCCACGTACGCTTCTGTGAAATCTCGCCCGCCGCCCCCACCTTGTGGTTCTAGGGCATAAAACGGGAAGCCAAACTGGACCCTGCATCAAGGCCTTTCAGGAGTTTTCCTGGTTTCGGTCCATCTCCTCTCTTCCACTCTCCTCAGTGTCAGAGCACCTGGAGTAGCTCTTACCCAGCTCTGCACTATATACTAGGCCCTGACCCCACACAGGAGGCCTGCCCAGATCTACCACCTGGTTCTGGCCCTGATGACCAGGTGGTAGGTTTTGGATCTTGAACTCCTAGTGTCAGGATCATAGGTACGAGCAATTCCCAGTCTCAAGGCTGAAGACATCCAGGTCAAAAACATGCCTCTTAAGGTAAGCAACCGAGTGTCCCAGCTTTTGAGTCCTTCTTCTCTTCAGCCTAACCTTGTTGCATTTGGGAAAGTCCTCAATGTGTGATAGATAGCACTCTACATGGAGCTTGTATGGGGAGACTGGGCTGAGCCTAGTGCAAAGCCAAGCTCTAGAGAGATTACCTTCTAGACAGTTAAATTGTAGGCTCTGATCAAGATACCATCCACTCTTCAAACCTTACTTCAAAACATAGCAACAACACGCAGCTTAACATTTTAATCAAAAAACACACTCATGTTCCTGCCAAACAGCAGAGCTTCAGCTTGGCTGGGTTGGGTCTGAAGAAGCCACAGCATGAAGAAGAGAGGCTCTGCCTCTCTGTCCTGAAACAGTAAGACCAAATAGACCACAGCTTGTCTAGCCTCTGGCTACACATGCCTTCTCTAGGGCATAGAGTTCCATTGCATGTAGCACCCCGTGAGCTCCAGCCCCCTCGGTTACATTGTTTGGGACTCTGAGTCACCAACGTGAACCCTAGACCTGAACTGGACACCTTCAACCAGGAGGAGGCTACCACAGCACTTCTAAACACAATAGTTACAGAAAAGTAGAATAAAATATCTGCCACTGAATTGGAGCCCACAAGATGAAATTCTGATGTGTATAAAGATGGGACAGAAAAAAAAGTGACCTGGTCCTCCCAATACAATATTAGAAGCCTGGCTGATACCTTATCACAGAAGACAGACTGCCAAAATAGACACATAGTGCACTTATTAAAGTATACAGAACCAGCCAAACATGAAACCCGAAGAAAGGGCCAGTAGATGACACCTACACGCACGCGTGTGTGTGTGTGTGTGTGTGTGTGTGTGTTTGTGTGTGTTTGTGTGTTTGTGTGTGTGTGTGTGTGTGTGTGTGTGCGCGCGCGTGCACGCATGCTGTGGGATGTTCTGTATGGCAAATGTGTTGCTGATTGGTCAATAAATAAAACACTGATTGGCCATTGGCTAGGCAGGAAGTATAGGCGGGACAAGGAGGAGAATAAAGCTGGGAAGTGGAAGGCTGAGTCAGAGAGACACTGCCAGTCGCAATGATGAGAAACAGCATGTGAAGATGCGGTAAGCCACGAGCCACGTGGCAAGGTATAGTGCTGTGGGATGTTCTGTATGGCAAACGTGTTGCTGATTAGTCAATAAATAAAACACTGATTGGCCATTGGCTAGGCAGGAAGTGTAGGCAGGACAAGGAGGAGAATAAAGCTGGGAAGTGGAAGGCTGAGTCAGAGAGACACTGCCAGCCTCCACGATGACAAACAGCATGTGAAGATGCCGGGAAGCCACGAGTCATGTGGCAAGGTATAGATTTATAGAAATGGATTAATTTAAGCTGTAAGAAGCCTGCCATGGCCATACAGTTTGTAAGCAATATAAGTCTCTGTGTTTACTTGGTCGAGTCTGAGGGGCTGTGGGACTGGCGGGTGACAGAGATTTGTCCTGACTGTGGGCCAGGCAGGAAAACTCTAGCTACAAATGGCGCCCAACGTGGGGCAAGAGTTTCCACCTAAAAACTGAGAAAAGATTCTAAAACGGAGCTAAAAACAGTTCCTAATTGTCTCTCTCAAATGAGCGGCAACTGCCGGTTTGAGCTACTGGCGGGTTCCTAGCGTGTGTGCTCGACCTGCAGTATGGCGGGAATGAGGCCTCTGCAAGTGGCACATTAAGCTGCATTGTGGATTTAGCCTTTGCTAGTACAAAACAAAAAAAGGTTTCTGGGCTACACGCTGCTTGGATAAAAGCATAGACCCACGATAGCTCCCAGAGCTGGCGGTAAAGTACCACGCCATGTTGGGAAGCTGAGGTGGGCGGAGCCAGCAGCCACAGCTGCTGCAGTTTAAGGCAATAGATTCACAATAAGACAGATTCAGATGTAATAGTTTACAATGTGTGTAAAAGATACGTAGGCTTGAAAGAGACAAAAAAGGTGATATATAGAGTTATAGAAACAAATACATAGTTTTAAAAAATAAAGTCTTTAAAGAGACAGTAAAGGTAATATAGAAAATAAGTCACGTAGAGATGAATATTACACAGAGAATCTGGATTGTGTTGTCTTTGGGATTTTTAACTGCAGAAAAACATTTGATTGTAAAAGCTGTTGAGTTAAACCAATATATATATTTTAAAGATACCTTGACTTCAAAATTTGGATATAAGGATATGTTGTTTTGGAAAAGAGTCTCTTTTGTTCCCACAGAAAGCCAGAGGCTAAGAATTTGTTCCAGATTAAGATACATCAGGTTTGACCAGCCAAGACCACCTGAAAGGTCTCCGATGACACCATGGCCCAGATGATCCAACATCCAGAATGATTTGAAGGCAACTGGCTCAGACGATACAGCCTCATGGACTATTCCATAATCCTAAAATTTTCTTTATGTCCCCATAAGATACAGTGCCCCCCTCCAGCAGGAAGTAGTAAGAGAAGCTAAGCCCAAATTCCCAAATTATATGTAATTTTACTTTGTTAAGGTTAAAACCTTCCTTTTTGAAAAAAAAAATGGGGGAAGTGCTGTGGGATGTTCTGTATGGCAAACGTGTTGCTGATTAGTCAATAAATAAAACACTGATTGGCCATTGGCTAGGCAGGAAGTGTAGGCGGGACAAGGAGGAGAATAAAGCTGGGAAGTGGAAGGCTGAGTCAGAGAGACACTGCCAGCCTCCACGATGACAAACAGCATGTGAAGATGCCGGGAAGCCACGAGTCATGTAGCAAGGTATAGATTTATAGAAATGGATTAATTTAAGCTGTAAGAACAGTTAGCAAGAAGCCTGCCATGGCCATACAGTTTGTAAGCAATATAAGTCTCTGTGTTTACTTAGTCGGGTCTGAGGGGCTGTGGGACTGGCAGGTGAGAGAGATTTGTCCTGACTGTGGGCCAGGCAGGAAAACTCTAGCTACAGTATAGATTAATGGAAATGGATTAATTTAAGCTGTAAGAACAGTTAGCAAGAAGCCTGCCACGGCCATACAGTTTGTAACCAATATAAGTCTCTGTGTTTACTTGGTCGGGTTTGAGTGGCTGTGGGACAGGCAGGTGAGAGAGATTTGTCCTGACTGTGGGCCAGGCAGGAAAACTCTAGCTACAGTGTGTGACAAGGGAGGGCTGGAAGAGGCATTGTAAGGCAGTAGACACTGTTTAGAAGAAAGGGAAGATCTGGGAAGCACACACAACGACCTGGTTGAAGTTCCCCTGGGTCCTGGGCCTGCTGCTGTTTTTCTCCTATGTCCTTACCCTTGGTTAGGAAATTGAAGACAGTTGCTTGTTCTTTGGTAGACCAAAGCCCCGCCTGCATTTTTAAGGAAGGAGGATCAGAGGAATCTCCAGACTGGAAAGGCAGGGGGATAGCCATAGAGACCAGGTTCTGAGTTGTTCTCCAGCTCAACCCATCCAAGTGCCACCCTCAGGGTCTGTTGTCTGAGCCACCATAGGAGAGACAAACAATAAGAAAGGATCGCAGAAGGTGACAGGAAGAGTTGCCAGGCAGTGTGCCATTTCCAGGCACACTGGAACGTGTGTCGAGGGGCGCAAATAAGCATGTCTGAAATCTTTAAGGAAAAATGAAAGAACGGTACCCACGTGCGGGAATCAAAACTTAACAATACTTTGTCAAGAACAATGAATCAATTCCAAATGAGCAGGTTGCACACCTATAATCTTAGCACTCAGGAGGCTTAGACAGGAGGAATTCAAAGCCCGCCTGAGTTACAAGGTGAGCTCGAGGTCACTTTAGACTACCTAGTGAGCCTCTGTCTCAAACCACCCAAACAAATAAACAAAATACAGATATGGAAACAGCTATAACAGGTTTTAAACAGGAAAACCAGTACGAGAAGTAGCTCCATGGGTGGTGGTGTTGGAAAAAGTTATTCCAAGTGTCACACAGACATGAACAAACAAAAATAACTCAGGCAATATTTACTTTGGCAACAGTCCAAACTGGGTGAGCAAGCAATCAGGGTGAGAAGTTCACTTAGTTTTCTGTTTCATCACATTGGTGCATGTAACACGAATCCTTTTTTTTTTTGGTTTTTCGAGACAGGGTTTCTCTGTGTAGCTTTGCGCCTCTCCTGGAACTCACTTGGTAGCCCAGGCTGGCCTCGAACTCACAGAGATCCGCCTGGCTCTGCCTCCCGAGTGCTGGGATTAAAGGCGTGTGCCACCACCGCCCGGCGTAACACGAATCTTAAATGGTCTTATTAATAAAAAGAAAAAAAAAACTCAGTGCCAGCTATTGGGGTAAATTCTGAAAGATCAGAGAGACAGAACAAGCCACAGCTAACCTCACCTTGCCAACTTCTCAGTCGATCCTCTTTCCTCAAACTGGAAGCCTCTGAGTCCTCATCCAAATGGATCTCCGCTGAACTGCCTAAAAGCCTCTAGTTCCTGGTCCTCACACCTTATATACCTTTCTGCTTCCTGCCATCACTTCCTGGGATTAAAGGCGTGTGTTACCGTGCCTGGTTGTTTCTAGTGTGGCCTTGAACTCACAGAGATCCAGATGGATCTCTGCCTTAGGAATGCAAGGATTAAAGGCGTGTGCTACCACTGCCTAACCTCTAGGTTTAATATAGTGGTTGTCCTGTTCTCTGACTCCCAGATAAGTTCATTGGGGTGCACAGTGTATCAACATTCTAACCTGCAACATCCTAACCTGTAACAGAGGGTCAGATTCCAGAATTGGGGAGGTTTGAAGAACACTGTAACCTGTAACATCCTAACCTGTAAGAGAGAGAGAGAGTCAGATTTCAGAACTGGGGAGGGTTGTAGAATATTGGCCCTTGGCAAACTAGCATTCTTTGATAGAAAAGACTTTCTCACAGTCCCTTCCTCTTGATGGTACATTTTCATTCTTGCCTTCACATCCAGGCAGCATATGCTGTTTTGTTTCTCTTAGGCTGTTGTCCCTGTCTTTATTCCTCTTGGGATGTCACTGACACCAAGAGGTCATCCATGTACTGAATCACGTTCACCAGGAGGAAGTGCCCTTCCTTCTCTGGTTGTGTTTTGTTTGTTGTTTTACTTTGTCAGGGACGGGTTCTGCCCAGGTAGCCCTGGCTGGCCTAGAACTCACTATGTACACCAGAATGGCCTCGAACTCATGAGGATCTGCCAAAGCGCTGTTGTTTTAAAGTTTTTCCAAAATCTGTCCATCAGTATTGCTGTGTCCTATCCACCTGGGGACCCTCTCACTCAAAGGAGAAGAGGTCCTCAGTCACAGGAAAAGCCCCAGCTCATCTTTTAGGTCAACAATACTGATGCAATTGTAATTATATGGAATCTTACTGAGGGGAATGTAGGGCTTGGGTAACACGGAGTGTTGGCTGTGGACAGCCTTGCCTCACTGCCCTAAGGTCTTTAAGAATCATCACACTTTCTCACTGGCAAGACTGGGATGTTAGGTGGAGACAAGCAGAGCTTGAGGAGTCCATCTCATACCAATACATTAATGATGGATTTTAATCCTTGTCTCCCTTTAAAACCTATGGGATACTATCCTCATCTTATTACATCCCCTTGGGTTTTTAGAGTACTGTGGGTTGGGAGGATCTTTAAATCCCCTTTATTTCTAACTCGGTTCTAGACTTCAGGAAAGATATCTTCTTCTGCTTGCAGAAAAGGCACCAATAGCCACATGTGGTGGTTATCATCAATGCTCTAGCACTAGCCACAAAGGCCGGGTGATGGAGCATGGTAGTAGATACAGTTGTCCTTGATTCAGTTACCTGTGCTAGCTGATCTGAAACCACAAGGAGCCCAGAACTCAGCACCAGGTCCTCCTCCACACTCAGCCTCTGGCGATTTCTGGCTCCTTATAACTCCACCTAGCATTCTTAGAAGGCTGCTTAGGATTCTTCAAACTGGATCTCCTTTGTCAGTATCGCTCACCAGTCAGCAGTGTGTGGGCCTTGCCTTTGGCAATGGGAATGAATCTAAGCCAAAGTTGGCCTCAGCCAAAGTTTTTTGAGTCAAACTGACAGATTAGACCACAGTAGAAGACGGTACAGAAACTCAGTCATCGGGGCTTTGCTGTGCGTGGACAGACGGCAGTGACAGACCAGTGACAGAGTCATCAAAGGGGTGGGGGGGGCGGAAGTGGAGAGTATTGAAGGCACTGTGGTACAGCCACAGCAGACAGGCAAGGCTCGGGAGACAGAGTCACACCCAGTGCAGCTGAGAGGGGTAGGAAGAATCTTTCCTAGCAGTAGGGGATGGCTTAGTGTTATCTCATGGGCAATGTGTGTGTGTCCACATCCGAGGGGGCGGCTGATTTCTCTTAAGGAGTAAATTTACACACCTGTTGTCTCTCTTGAGCCTGCCTTTTGGGGTCTAACTGTATAAGACATCACAAATCCTTGGATCAGGATTGTCTACTTGTTGGGATGTTTGATTTTAGCCGCCTGTACATTTCTAGGGAGCTTTGCTCCTCAGAACTGCTGCCTTCGTCTGGGGGAGGGCTGCTCCCTGAAGGAGGCCCCTCCCTCCCTGCCCCCTGCCCCCTGGGTCCCCGCCACTCCTCTCTGCAGGAATCTCTGGATTGTGCTCTGCCTGCCTGGGATTAACATAACCCAGAAAAACCTGAGGGCTTTGTTTTCTTCCTTTTTATTTTGTTTGAAATCAATCACCATGAAAAACAAGGTTAATAAAACATGATTTTTTTTCTGTCATAACAAATTCATTGAAGCAGAAACAGGACAGAGCAGCCTCTGTCAAACAAGAACATTAGGACTCCAGGCAACTGGGTAAGTAAAATTTTTGGTGCCTAAATTGATGTTGTTGCTGAGATCTCTTCCTGTGTTGCGGACAACCTGTTGGGCAAATGGGAAACTGAAGGCTCTCAGGTGGAGGTTCAAAAGAGACACTGGGCAGGACTGTTGGAATAAGAAGGTTCTTCAGAGAGTTATGAATGTCGTGAACAGACAGACAGACAGACAGCAGTGGTGGGGGCTCTGAGTATAGTTCTGGCCTCAGCGCCACAGAGAGATGGCATGGCGAAGGATCTGAGGAGAATTAACCTCTTGTGGCAGAGTTGGAGTCCATTCTTCCAACTCTACGGAAGGGAGAAGACGTTACCCTCCATGAGCCTGTAGACGGGTTCTCTGATTCCCTGGCAGAGAGCAGGGAACTGGGTGGGGAGCAGGATATTTGGCCACCAATAGATGTAAATTCACTTCCCCAGGTAAGAAATCCTGGCACCTGAAAGTCTGGTAGCTCAGGCTTCTCAGACCAATTGGTTGCCGGTCAGTGTTTGTAGGGGAGCAGCTGCGGCAGGTACGGTGGTCAGGTTTGGATCCGAACATTACATGGCCCCCTTTTCTCTTTATATAAAGAGAAACAAGGGAATGGTTTTACGGGAAAGGGAGGGCGCAGAGAAGGCTAAAAAGGGTAAGGGGCATCACTGCAGATAGAGCGGCGCTATCATTTCTACTCTGCAGTCTGTCCGTGGTCAGAGACGACCGGCAGAGTAGCACGTTTGACTCCGGCTCCCTGCTTCCAGCCTGCTTTTGCCTGCTATTCATGGTCCAAAGGGCCATGGTGAGTGTGGCTCTGGTCAAGGTGGTTCAGAGTCAGTTGACTAGCCTGGTACAAAAAGAAAGAGAAAGGACACGTGATGTCTCACCAGGGAGGAAGTCTGGGCAGCAGGTGTATGGTGTTTTGGATTCCTTGTGACTCCACCCAACATTCCAGAAGTCTGATTAGGGTCCTCCAAACTGGGCCCCTTTGTGAGTGTCACTGTTTGGAAGGGTGCAGGCGTCCCCTTTGACGCCTGTGGGAATGAGTTTAGGCCAAACTTGGCCTCAGCTGCAGCTTCTGGCTCACACTGGCTGATCAGACAACAGTACACGGGGCTACAGAACCTTGTGGAAAAGCTAAGAAGATTCTGAGGATCTGCTCTTAGGGAAGGTGGCACAGGGCAGGTGAGGTACAGCCGAGGGGCCCCTGGGAAGACTTCAGAAGCTAAGCCTGGAACACTGGGAACCTTTGTTCCAAATATACAGAAACCACCAGTAATAAGCAGGAACCGAAGTTCGGATGTCTGCTGAAGAGGCACTGAGGCCAGACCTCTGTCCCAGAACCCCCACATCCACTCTCCTTTCCTGTTGCCTGGCTCCTCTTTCTGCAAACACAAAAGCCAAGAGTAGAATGGTTTGAGGTCCAGCACGACTATAACACAAGAAAACAACAGTGAACAAGGAACATGACAGGGAGAGACAACAGGTCACGCCTGGGGTCCCATCCAAGGGTGGCAAGGAAGGGCTCTTGCTGCCCAAAGTCTACCTTGGTGGCCTGGACCAAACGCTTAGCAGCAGGCTCTGCCCAACTCTGTAAGGGGAAGGGAAAGAGAGGGGCACAAAATGGGCAAGAAAGTGAAGAGTGTGCAGGATCCTTTATCTGCCCCACCATCAGGGCTACAGATCCCAGGTAGTCCCCAGGGACAGACCTGGGTCCCTGACAACCAAGGTGGCTTCACTCAGCTCTGTAATCTCAGTCCTTGTACCTAAAGATTCAAATGTTGCTTTCCTTCTCTTCCCGTGGCCTTTTTCTCTTTTCCCTTTTCATTATTTGGAGATGGTTTAACTATGAAGCCCTGGCTGACCTGGAACTTGCTATGCAGAACAGATTGGCCTCAAATTCACAGAGATTCACCTGCCTCTGACTCCCAAGTGCTGGGATTAAAGACATGTGCCAACATGTCCCGACTCTTTTTTTTTCTTAAAAATAGCCTTTTTTTTTTTTTTTTTTTGGAAGGCAATGGGGTTCATGAGCCCCCACCCCCACTGAGGCACTATGGGCAGTTGATGGCTTCTGGGGGAGAGGCATTTTTTCTTTAGAGTATGGCCCCTGGCAGGTGTACCATGCGCAAGTGTATGATCCCACACCTAGGAGTATAAAGCAGCCCAGATTGGACTAGATGAGTTATTTTTTTAAAAGGACACAAAATTGGGGGAGGTGAGGCGAACTGGGAGAAGTTGGGGCAGGAGTAGGAGTGCCTATGATTAAAACACATTACATTCTCAGAATTAATGAAAATACTTTAATTAAAACTTTCCAAATAACAACTGGATGAGAAATAAATTCAAATGTTAATCTCAACAATGGCTTGCCAAGAATTTTTCTGTCTGAGGTTGGAGATGCAGCTTGATGGTGTAACGTTTGTACAAGGCTCTGGTCAATCCCCAGAGCTGAGGGGGAAAAAGGTTTTAGCACTTTGCGGTTTCAAAGAGCTAACGTGAGTTTTCCTTGGTACTCTGAGCTCTTTTTTTTCCAAGTTTTTGGAAGACAAACCTGGTTGTTTTCCCACCTGGTTCATTGGGATCTAGCTGAACCAGCTGTGTCTGGATCGAGGGCAGAGGACACCAACAGATCGCCAGTGCCACCTGCTGGTCTAAGTTCTCGATTCCCGTCAAGAGCAAGCCAGGCTCCCTGGCCCCTTGACTTTGCCCCTCACTTCCCTCAGGCATTTCTCATTAGTGAGTGGCTGTGTGTCTGCTGGTCACTTTACATCTGTGTCTCAATGCGCATATCTTACAATTCAGCCAGGTAGAGCGTCAGTTCAGCTGTTTTTGGTGTACTCTCAGAGTTGAACCTCCATTGCCCCGATCCACTTTAGAGCGTTCTCATTACTCAGAGGAAACTCTCCTCATTGACAGTCACAGCCTCCTTCACCCCAGGTTTCCTGTCTCCAGAACTGATATATTCTGGACTTTTATATAAGGGGAAGCATTCAATAAGTGGGCCTTTATGTCTGGCTTACTTCATTCAGTACTACATTGTCAAGGCAAGTGCCCGACCACTAAACTATCCCCAACCTCACCAATACTTTTTATGACCAAGTACTTCATTGTTTTTGTTTGTTTGTTTTGTTTTTTCAGCCAAATAATGTCTCATTACAGGGCTATACCACCTTTGGTTATCCATTCATCTGATGATGGACATTTGGTCTGGTTCTGCCATTTGGCTACTATAAATAATGCTGCTGCAACCATTTTCTCAAGTTTTTTTTTTTTTTTTTTTTTTTTTTTTTTTTTTTTTTTTTTTTTTTTGTGTGTGTGTGTGTGTGTGTGTGTGTGTGTATGACTCAGAGCAGAACTGTTGGGTCATATAGGAACATGATTAATCATGTGCAGAACATCCAAAGTGCTTTGCTTTTAGGATTTTTTAAAGGGATTGGTTTGTTTGTTTCTTTGTTTTGGAGACACAGTCTCTCTGTTACATAGCTCTGGCTTGCTGGATCTGACTATGTACACCAGGCAGCCTTGAACTCACAGAGATCTGCCTCTGCCTCTAGAGTGCTGGGATCAAAGGCTTTTGTGCCCACACCAGCCAGATTCATTTTACTTTTTATTTTTATGTTTATTTATTTACTGGGGCAGGGCACGTGTACGTGTGTGTGTGTGTGTGTGTGTGTGTGTGTGTGTGTGTGTGTGTGTCAGAGGATTGGGAAAGGATTGGCTTTTTTTTTTTTTTTTTTGTTCACTGTGTGGGTCATCAGCTTTGGTGAGTAAAGCTTTTACCCGCTGAGCCGACGGTTTTACCAGCAGCACATGAAGGTTCCAGTTTCTCTGCATACTCACCAGCCTTTCTATCTGACTTTTGATCCCAGCCACTCTAGTGGAGTAAACCACTGTGTTATGGGTTTGGTTGTTTTTCTTCCACTGTAATATCTTGGCACCTTGTTCATTTCCATTTATTATTATTATTATTATTATTATTATTATTATTATTACGTTTTAGATAGGTTCTAACTATGTCACCCAGGTGCAATCTTGTTGACTGTGACATGGTACCATGTCCAGGCTAAGGAGGAAATTTTTCCTAAAGGTATCCAAGGACATCTGGGTAGAATCATTCCTGAGGAGGGGCTGTAGGGTGGAGATGACAGATTACAGAGCTGAGAAAGGTGGGGGAGAGTGACTGAATGGCCTGTGCACAGCCAGTCAGGGGAGGGAAGGAAGACGTGCGAGTACAGAGTGAGGGACTGGCTGAGAGACACAGAACAGGGACAGAAGACGTTCCCAGGCCGTGGCTGCCTCTCATAACGCTGAAACTTCTAAGTTTCTTCTCTTTGTATTTAAGACACTCTCATTGCAGGAGTTGGTGAACCCCACCATTCTGCACAGGACTTAAACGAGGTTTCCGTGCATATGTGCTCGGTTTCGCCTGATACTTCTCCCTCTCTCAAGCAATACCCCTCACATCTGTCATTTAGAACTGGCTCCGTATATAGGAAGTGGACCAGGGGACAGCTTGTGTCATAGAAATAACCTAAGTTTCACAGCTTAAAGACAAGCTCATTGGATGCTGTAGGTAACACTAACATCAAGTCTCCTCTGGGTGTGTAGGGATGGTTCTGAAGCCTCTGAGGTCCAATAAAATCCATTGCACCATCAGAAGGTGCAATGCGAGCTGCCAACGGAGAGGAGCAATCAGTCAGTCCTACCCAGGTGCAAAGCCTATGCACCTCAGTGATGGCTCCTCAAAATAGTGTCAAAGATGATGCAAGAGTGATACTCTTGTCGGGAGGTGGTGGTGCGTACCTTTAATCCCAGCACTGGGGAGGCAGAGGCAGGCTGGTCTCAGTGAGTTCAGGGCCAGCCTGGTCTGCAAAGAGTTCCAGGACAGCCATGAATGTTACACAGAAAAATCCTGTCTCAACAAACAAACAAACAAACAAAAAAGTGATACTCTATCTTGAGAGTAACTAACAGTTGTGTCATCAGACCTAAGGTCCACTTGATGGGAAAGCATTCATGCCTGGTAAGGTTAGCCTAGTGAGTTGCCTGTGGCTAGACAGGTCATAGACTCTAGAGGAGAATCTACTGATGCCTTTTCCCTAAACAAACGTAAGTTCTGTGTTCTAAATCCTTATTCTTATACTCACAGATAAGTAAGTGTTCTCACTTCTGCTCAAAGAAACTTCTTTTCACTTGTTTGTATATGTTGGTTTTTCAAGTTTTTTTTTAAATGTGCATTTGCGTTTTGCCTGCATGTATGTCTGTGTGAGGGTGCCAGATCCCCTGGAACTGGAGGCACAGACAGTTGTGAGTCACTGTGTGGGTGCTGGGAATCAAACCCAGGTCCTCTGCAAGAGCAGATATTCTTTTTTTTTTTTTTTTTTTTGGTTTTTCGAGACAGGGTTTCTCTGTGTAGCTTTGGTGCCTTTCCTGGAACTCAGTCTATATCCCAGGCTGGCCTCGAACTCACAGAGACCCACCTGCCTCTGCCTCCCGAGTGCTGGGATTAAAGGTGTGCACCACTACCGCCCAGCTCCAAGAGCAGATATTCTTAACTGCTGATCCATCTCTCCAGTCCCAACAAAGCTTCTTTTTGCAACAGATGGAGATGATGACAGAGATCCACAGCTGGTAAAAATGCAGAGAACAAGTGGCTGCAGGGTGTCAACCCCACTGATGCATCTCCAGTGTAACCCTACACCCAAGGCTTGGAAAACCCTAGAGAAGAGGAGGGAGAGACGGTCAGAGCCAGGAGACTAGGGTGCCTGCGACTGGATAGCGTCCCCAAAACCTGACACTTTCAACAACGTGGTTGTTTTGGCAACACCAGCCGGAATGCCAACATTGACGGGGAAAATTCAACACGGTCCTTCCGTAGATGAAGAAGTACAAGTAGCTGCTGAGGGTGGGTGGGGAGTCTGTTTCCTCCAGGAACAAGGTCCTACATAGGTTGCCCAATCCCACGTGTTCAGCTTAGACTGTGCCCATATGAGCCATGCTACATGGACTCAGTTGTAGTAGACTATTATTTTAAGGTGTGTTACTTTTATGTATGTTGCATTTGTTTAACTCTGTGAAGCTGTGTTACTGTGCCTGTCTAAAACACCTGATGGTCTAATAAATAACTGAATGGCCAATAGCAAGGCAGGAGAAGGGATGGGTGGGGCTGGCAGGCAGAGAGAATTAATAGAAGGACAAATCTGGAAAAAGAGGAGAGCTAGCTAGAAGCCAGAGAAGGAGGAGGACTCCAGGGGCCAGCCACCCAGCTACACAGCAAGCCATGGAGTAAGAGTAAGATTTACAGAAGTAAGAGAACGGGAAAAGCCCAGAGGCAAAAGTTTACAGGGTAATTGAAGTTAAGGAAAGCTGGCTAGAAATAAGCTAAGCTAAGGCCAGGCATTCATAAGTAATAATAAGCCTCCTTGTGTGAATTTGTTTGGGAGCTGGGTGGCAGGCCCCCTGAAAAGAGACAAAATGAACAACAACACTCAGTGTGTTCTGTCTACATGTATATGTAGCTGAGGTGGTTTGAATTTGAGTGGTCCCCATAGGCTCATATATTTGAAAACAGTGCAGTGGTTCTCAACCTTCCCAATGCTGCAACCCTCTAATACAGTTCCTCACATTGTGGTGAACCCCCCCACAACCATGAAATAATTTTAGTTGCTACTTTATCACTGTGATTTTGCTAGTGTTATGATTGTAATGCAAATATCCATGTTTTCCAATGGTCTTAGGCTACCTCTGTGAAAGGGTCATTCAATCCCAACGAGGTTGCAACCCACAGGTTGAGAACCACTGAGTTGGTAGAACTGTTTGGGAAGGATTAGGAGGTATGCTCTTGCTGAAGGAGGTGTGTCATAGGGATGGGCTTTGAGGTTTCAAAAGCCCATGCCCTTCCCAGTTAGTGCTCTCCCTATCCACTCCACCCTACCCCCACCTCCTGCTTGTGGATCAGATGTAAGCTTTCAACTACTGCTCCAGCACCATGCCTGCCTGTTGTCATGCTCCTTGCCACAGCTGCCATAGGCTCTAACCCTTTGGAAACATGAGCCCCCAAATTAAACGATTTCTTGTATAAGTTGCCTTGGTCATTGTATTTTTCTCAACATTATAAAAGTCACTAAGACATATGTATAGATGTATAGATATGTATCATACATACATATATGTGTGTAGCAATATAATTAAAGAAGATATTATGAATTTGCTAGGAAGAGTAGGGTGGGACATGGGAGGAGATGAAGGGCAGGTAGAGAGGGGGTGGAGAGATGTAGATGAAGTAACTATTCATGTATGAAGTTCTCAAAAAAAAAAAAGTAGGTGCTGGAGCAATGGCTCAGTAGTTAAGAGCACTGGCTGATCTTCCAAAGGACCCAGGTTCAATTCCCAGCAACCACATGGAAGATCACAACCATTTCTAACTCTAGTCTCAGGGTATCCAATATTCTCCTTTAGCTCCATGGTATCAGGCATGCATGTGGTGCACAAGCGGACATGTATGAAAAACACCTATATGCATTAAAAATTTAAATAATTAAGTTAAAATTTAATCTTTCAAAAGCATATCCACATATACACATATTTATTTAATTTGTAAAGGAAGCATGTGGGGAAAGGTGTGAGGAGGCATGCACTTCTGGTTCAACAGTCTCCGGTCACTAGTCTAAGCCACGCGGAGCTGCAGCCCTGGGTAGGAGCTTTAAGAGAGCACTGGAAATGTCAGAAGTCCAATGCTGGCATTGTTTTAATTGTCATCTACCACAGGCTTCAGCTGTCTTGGTATTGCTGCTGCTGCTCCTGGAGCCAGGAATGCTCTCCTCTCCGCCACCCTCAGGGCTGCTGGAGAAGCTCTTCCAGTACATCGACCTCCACCAGGATGAGTTTGTGCAGGTAGGAGAAAGGCACATGTGATGCTCTGGTTGCTTCCTTCAGAACCTGTGGCATCACTTCGCTGGGAGATGGGGGTGGGGTTTGTGCCTGATGATGATTCCATTTTAAATGGTGGTGACTTCTTATTAGGTTAAAACATCAGTACTCATTAGATTTGTGGCAGAGACTCCTCAGACATGGCTTCTAATGAGACACTCTGTCCTTGGCACATCTGATCTGTGTCTGGTGTTCACAGCACCTCTATGGAACATTGCAGTTCTTTTTTTTTCTTTAAATATGTGGGGGCCCACCACCAAGCTCCCAAATAAATACATGGAGACTTATCTTTATGAATACCTGGCCTTAGCTTGGCTTGTTTCTAGCCAGCTTTCCTTAACTTAAATTATCCCATCTACTTTTTGCCTCTGGGCTTTTACTTTTCTCTATTTTATATACCTCTCTTTCCTTCTTACCCCATGTTGTGCGGCTGGATGGCTGGCCCCTGGCATCCTCCTCTCCTTCTTTTCTCATTCCTATTTCTCTTCTCCTATTTAATCTCTCTGCCTGCTGGCCCTGCCTATCCCTCTCCTGCCTTGCTATTGGCTGTTCAGCTCTTTATTAGACCATCAGGGGTTCTGAACAGGCAAAGTAACACAGCTTCACAGAGTTAAACAAATAAAACATAAAAGAATGCAATACATCTTTGCATCATTAAACAAATGTTCCACAACATAAATGAATGTAACACACTTTAAAATAGTATTCCACAATAGTGCGTGATTATTCTAGTCCATCAAGTAATCCACTGACAGTATTCCCTGGTTCCCAGAGATGTCCAGAGAACATTTTTAGCTTTTAGTGCCAACATTGATAGTCCCTCGCTGTATTTCTAACACCAGCCTGGTTCCTAGCATGTGGTATGGACATATGGGCAAGTGAAGAAAAGAAAAATAGACAGAGGCCTTGGGAGCAGAAAGAGAGCAGACTAATAGGGAAGGAGGTGTATGTCCTTATGTCTCACTGGGTAACTTCCATTGGCTCTCTTGTCCCCTCTGTGGGCATCTGGGCCCATGATCACAGCCTTCCCCACACTGATTTGGGTGTTTTGCTTTTGTGAGAGAGGGTCACACATAGCCCAGACTGGCCTGAAACTCAGTACCTAGAGGATGACCTTGAATTCCTGATCCTCTTGTCTCTACCTCCCAGGTGCTAGGACTGCAGGTGTGCGCCACGGTGCTTGACTTCCACCCTATTTACGCCTCTAGGGCCTCCTTTGGATCTCACTAGACTGCATGCTCTACATCCTAACACCACATTAGTCCAATGGTTGGGTCAAACAGCCAATGTTAGGACCATCATCACGCAAACAGGGGTGAAACCTTTGTGTTTCATGCCAAAGGCATGGAGTTGACTTTGCAGGCCAATGTGCCTAAACACGACCTCCATGTGATCCTTCCTGCAATGTTAACCCAACAGAATGACCTCTGGGATTTCTAGAATTCAAGTAGAATCTCTGGCGTCAGTTTAGAAACAGGGTCTCCCAGGAGCTGAGGGAGGATGTGGGCTTTCAGTCAGAGCATCCCTCTTCCTGGCCTCCTCAAACATCCCGTTCACTCTGGGGCATAAGTGTCAGCAGTACCTGCCCTACAAACTCCAGGTGAAGAATATAAAACCTAATATTCCCTAAGGAAATTCTCCTATGATAAGAATATAAATGCTATAAGCAGAAAAGAGAAATCAAACTAGAGAAACAGAGTCAAGATCAGCTATCCAAAATAGATGCCATTTTTTTTTCATTAAAAACAATGGTGTTTTGCTAGGCACAGTGGTGCACACCTGTAATTTTAGCACCTGGGAGGCAGAGATAAGAGGATTCTCACAAGTTCTAAGCCATTCTGGTTGCATAGTACCAAAAAAGAAGAAGAAGAAGAAGAAGAAGAAGAAGAAGAAGAAGAAGAAGAAGAAGAAGAAGAAGAAGAAGAAGAAGTTTTGGCTTAAGCAGTTCAGATTCCAACACTGGACCATAAGCAATGATTATGAATTACTCCATCGTGGGTGTTCTTAGTGAATGTTTGCTAAGTCCTATAACACAGAGGCAATGTGTCCTCCTGAAATTAGGAAACACTCTCTCCTTTAAAAAAGTAATTTATTTCCTTTTATTTCTATGTGTATCAATTAATTTATCTTTTTATTTTTGTGTGTATGTGTGCATACCTATATGAATTGATGTATATCACCCACAGTGCAGAAACCCCCAGAAGCTGGAAGAGGGCACTAGATCCCCTGACCTGGAGTCACATGAGATTGTGAGGCACCATGAGGGTACTGGGAACTGAACTGGGTCTCTGCAAGAACAGTAGTTGCTCTTAACCATTGAGCCATCTCTCCAGCCCCACTCTTCTCCTTTACAATTGGAAATCTGAGGCTGAAAGGTTAAGGAGTTGTCAAAGGCATGTAAGGCCACAAGGCGAGGTGGGTTGAGTAACTGAACTCATACAGTGATGAATTCAAGTCCTGGCTACACTGTCTAGAGGATCGAATGTGTGGGGATAGGTTGACTGCATCCCCTCAACCTACCCTACTTCATCTTTATTATTAGATGCTTCTGGTCTCCAGTTTTTTAAATTAAATCCCAAGCTCCCCATCAAGTGTGTGTGTGTGTGTGTGTAGGTCAAAGGTCAGCACTGTATGTTTTCCCTAGGTGCTGTCCACTTTGTTATTTTTTTGTTTTGTTCATTTTGAAACCAGAGTCTTACTTAATTGATTTATCAAGTAGGCTCAGCTGGATGGCCATTGAGTCCCAGGGACCCACCTGTCTCTGCCTTGCCTGTTCTGGGATGACAAGCATGTACCATAATGTCCAGATTATGTTTGACAAAGTCGTCTCTGAGGAAGTGAACTTGGGTTCTCACACTTGCAAAGCAAGCTTTACAACTGAAATACAGCCTGCTCCCACCACTTACTTTTAAATTTCACTGTGCTATTAAACTAATCTACAAGATTTCGTGAACTAAAGAGCGTTTGGGTACTCCTACCCCACTGGACATGGGCTCCTGTGCCCTACCATGATAACCCCCTCAATTGTCTTTCTTTCACAGACCCTGAAGGAATGGGTGGCCATTGAGAGTGTTTCTGTGCAGCCCATGCCTCGTCTCAGACAGGAGATCTTCAGGATGACGGCCTTGGCGGCAGACAAACTCCAGCACCTGGGAGCTAGGGTGGATTCTGTGGACTTGGGTTCTCAACAGGTGCCAGGGCGTCTCCTTCCAGTTCAGGAGCCTCCAATTCAATGGCCATTAGCCATGCCTTCCTTAGGTGGTGTTAAGAAAAGGACTTCTTTAGATCCTCACCTCAATCCCCATAGAGTCCAGATTTCCCATAAGAACGAAACATGCCATCTAGTCCAAAATGAAACTGTGCTGTGGGCTTCTGGTCATAGCAGGACTGGGGACAGTTTAAGGAGAAAATGAAAGCCATGAATGTTATTGGAAGACCTGCCCCTCTTGTACTCCATGCACATTTCCCCTTGACTTTTCTTATATGCATAGGCAGCTTTCTGAACAAACCCATGTGAAGAGTGTGTTCTTACCCTGGAACCTGTCCTAGTTAGGATTTCTACTGCTATGATGAAACACCATGACCAAAAAGTGAATTGGTGAGGAAAGGGTTTATTTGGCTTATACTTCCACAGCACTGTTTATCAGCAAAGAAAATCAGGACAAGAACTCAAACAGAATGGGATCCTGGAGGCAGGACCTGATGTAGAAGCCATGGAAGGGAGCTGTTTACTGGCTTGCTCACCATGGCTTGCTCAGTTTGCTTTCTTATAGAACCCAGAAAAACCAGCCCAGGGATGGCACCACCCACGATGGGCTTTGCCCTCTCCTACCAATTACTAATTAAGAAAATTCCCTACAGTTGGATCTTGTGGGGAAATTTTCTCAATTGAGGTTCCCTCCTTTCAGATAACTCTAGCTTGTGTCAGTTAACATAAAAGCAGCCAACACAGAACCATTGCTTAGAATTGCCATTGTACCATGGATGTCAGATCTTCATAAAAGCATCCAGTGTCTCCTGCTTTACCACTTAGCACCTCAGAATCATCAAAGATTTCCAGGATTTGGAAAATCTGCTACTTTAAGCCATTTGAGATCTGAGTTCTTGAATAATATGTCCAAAGAACTATACCATTTGGCATTGTATGTCTAATGATTACTGATAATACTAATTCCAATGATGCTTCATATACTTAATGAAAGTGTATCCCTGTATACATTTTTTTGGTTTATTTTTGTGGGTTTATTTATTTATTATTTTGTTTGAGGCAGAATCTCACTGTGTAGCCTTGACTGGATTAGAACTCACTCTGTAGACCAGGCTGGTTCAAATTCATGTAGATTTGCCTGCCTCAATTCTTTAGTCCTGAGATTAAAGTCATGGATCACCATAGACAGCCATTGTATGCACCTTAGAGATGGGGAAAGTGATGCTCAGAAAAATGATGTAGGCTTTATAGGGCCTCAAGCATAGAGTAGATAGGACTCTTGTTTTGAATGTTCTGGAAGAATAGAGAGTGGGTTTTCTTTGTTTTTTTTTGTTTGTTTTAATATTGTGATTCACTATCCCACAGATGCCTGATGGTCAGAGTCTTCCCATACCTCCAATCATATTGGCTGAGCTGGGAAATGATCCCAAGAAGCCCACAGTATGCTTCTATGGGCACCTGGATGTGCAGCCAGCTCAGAAGGATGATGGGTGGCTCACAGACCCCTACGTGCTCACAGAGGTGGATGGTCAGTGTCATCAGATTCTTGGGTGGAGCTTCTCTGTAGTCAAGGCTTGGGCACAGAGTCAAAGACTGTTCCGTGTCCTTAGTTAAGAATAAGCAGATCTAAGTCTGGCAGAGCTTCTCAGAAGGCTGGAGAAAGGATCACAATTTCAAGCCAAACCTGTGCTACAACATGAATTTGAGACAAGCCTGGGCAATTGAGCAAGACCATAATTCAAAAGAAAAAGTGAAAAAAAAGAGGTCCTGGATATAGTTCAGTAGTAAAGTTCTTGTCTACTGAGGTCCTAGATTTGATCACACACACACACACACACACACACACACACACACACACACACACACACACCAGGTCTGAGAGAGAAAAGAGCGAGGAACTAAGAGAAATCATGTTTTCATGTCAATGATGTCCATCTCCTTCCATTGTGGAAGAAACTATGAACTTTGTGTCTCTGTGTCCCTAGGGAGTGGAGTGTTTGGCCAATAAGAACAGTTGTCTAGATCACAACTTTTCTTTTAGCAGATCTAATTTGTATTTTGTGAAGAAAGGAAGATGAAAGATTAATAGAGATGTACAGACATTTAATTATTCTTCCAACAGAAAAGTCTCAGCATGGGAGAATATGCTGTGAGCTGTTCAGCAACACAGCCTTGAGGGCTATCAAGGAACTTGGACAAAACAGCTAAGTTCTCCCAAGACTAGTGAGATGTGTGTGTTTAGACTAGCTTGTTTTATATGACTGGTGTTGAGCATCCTATTTGTATATGAGAAATTATGCTTTGCATTTCTTCTGTTCGTTTTGCTTTTGAGACAGTGTCTCCAGCTGCCTAGTCTGGCTTGAACTTGCTGTATAGCCAATTGTTGGCCTTGAACTGATTTTCTTGCCTTTACCTACTGAATGCCAAATGCTGGAATTGAGCATGCACCATCATACAAGGCACATTTTGCAATTTCAGAGCAAGATTTATGTCTGGAATATTAGAAATTACTGTTAAAAGTATTTACTCATGAAGCATTATTTTTACCTGTTGATCCCAAAACAGCTCTCACCCAAAGGGAATAAAAGATGGTTCATTCTGTGGGCTGGAGAGGTGGCTTGGTGGCTGAGAACATGGCTGCTCTTCAGGAGGATCTGGGCTTGACTCACAGCCCTTATGGCAGCTCATGACCGTTTGGATCTCTAGTTCTACCTGATCCAGTGCTCTCTTCTGGCCTTCGAGGGCTACTGCCATACAAGTGGTGCACTGACATTCAAGCTGGCAAAACTATCCACACATATAAAATTAAAAAAAAAAGTTTTTATTGGTGAAATTATTAAGGCCACTCCACATAGTTAAAAGGGAGGTTTATTTTGTGGGGTAACTTACAAGTGAAGGGATAGGTTGCAGGGTCTGGGAAAGGTGTAGCACATTCCGGCGGTGTTCTCTGGAGAACTCTGCTTGGTCTACCTTCAGCATCCTGGGTCCAGGAACCAAGAGAGCTGGTGCATCCGGATCTCCGGTCTTCAGGGTCCTCTCTCAGCCCCGCCTTGTAGGCGTGACCATTACCAAAGCCTCAATGAGGGTTGGAACTTCCAGGTCAAAGCTGGAACGGCTACCCACTACATGTTTTTACAAGATAGATTATTATGGAGTCAAACATGAATGACCATGGCCCAGGAACACAGATTCATACTTCTCAAAATGACACATTCCACTATGGAAATGGTTCCATGAGATTTTATTAGTCAAAGAACAATGAAACACATCACACTTGCCCAATACATTGGCAGAGACCACAGGTAGGTGGGTCACACGAGTCAAGGGGAAAATCTACATAGGTTTCAGATGTCATCTAATGGCATGCTCTGCTTTTTGACTGGTAAAACTTAGGGGTCCCCTGGCATATATTCTCCAAACTTTGGAGATCACAAGGACGCTCAGGTCAGACACAGGGATGGGGAACAGATGGGTTTCAATGGGACTAAGTCCCAAATAGTCTGGTTTGGGTCTGCAGTATTTTAACTAACTGCAATCACAGAGTTCAGTCATTTGCCTTTGTAGAAACTTCTAACACATCTATGGCTTTTGTTTGATCTCAGAACACGAGTTCTATAACACATGTAACTTGGCAGATGTGCCCACACTGTTTGAAATTTTCTCCTTTCGTTTTTAAAGGCAAACTCTGTGGGCGGGGTACTACCGACAACAAGGGCCCTGTTTTGGCCTGGATTAACGCCGTGAGCGCCTTCAGAGCTCTGGAGCAGGTAGGTGGCCTGCTGCGCTCTAGAGAGGGCGGTGGCTATGAAGCAATTGTAGTGAAAACATGCTTGAGTTGCTTACCCTGTCCTCAGGACACTGCACAGGGCTACTCCCTTTTCACAATCTTGAGTGCCTGTTATTGTCCCAACCATTTTGGACAGAAAGGTAAAAGCTTTGGGAACTCACTCAGAGCAAGCCAGCCAGAGAGCAATCATCCTGGAAGCATGGATTCCAGCCTGCAATGTCAGCCACGTTAAAAACAACGTGGAGCTGGTGTGCTGGGGAGACAAGAAAAAGAATTTGCTGCCAAGCCTGACTTTGATCGCCTGAGACCTACACAGTGGAAGGAGAGAACCAACTCCTTCAAGCTGTTCTCTGATTTCTACATGTGTGCTGTGGTATTTGCATGCATGCACTCACGTGCGCGCACACCCATACACACAGACACATACACACACATACACACACACACACAGAGACACATACACACACACACAGACACATACACACACATACACACACACACAGACACATATACACACACAGACACATACACACACACATACACACACACACACATACACACACATACACACACAGACACATACACACACACAGACACACACACACACACACACACACACACACACACACACACACACACACCAAACAACAAACAAACAAGAAACCTAGATTACAGTGCCGGGGAGATGGTTCAGTGGGTACTGGGGCTTGAGTTCAGAACCCCAGCACCTGCTGTAAAATGCTGGCTGAGGTGACACAAGCCTACAATCCCAGAGCTAAGGTCCTGGAGACGGGCAGATCCTGGGAGCTTGCTGCCTGAGTCCACTAGGCCCTTTGCCTAAGACAGGCTATTTTCCCATCGGTGTCCCTATAGGGTTATGGAAACAAGGCAGGGGAGGAGCTCTGAGGAGGCCGTCCCCTCCTTCTGGCTATCTGAGAACATTGTAGGTAGGTCCAGATGCATCTTCCTCTCTTACTTCGTACTAACAAGGATGGTTTTGTCTCCAGTCCTTCCATTTTTTATGCTTAGACTCCCAAAGAGGACTAAATCTGCTGTGTGGCTATGGGCAAGTGGTTTGACTCATTTAGACCTCAGATTCCTTTCTCTACAAATGGACATGTTGATTTGGAAAGCCAGGCTTAAACACTATGTTTTGCTACATACTTTCATGTTGTCCAGAAGTAGCCTATCCAGCCTGAAGTATGGAACCTGGCCCTTGACTTCATTCATCGGGAGTGCTGGCATCTCCCCTATGAGGAAGATCCCTCCCGCATTGCAACTTAATCTCTGAGCCCTGTCACCAGATGAATCAGAGTCACAAGCAGCAAGCCACCCTGCCCAGGCTCCAGGCTTTGACTGCGGACGGTTCCTTCTCCCAAGCACTGACTAATCAACCAGACCAGAGTGTTTCATCAGAATGCCAGGGGCTTCCCTCTCTGGGACACAAGCAGATGAGATGGGAATTACTCTTGGATTCAAATCCTTCATGACACTGAGAAACACGAGCTCAGACAATCGGGGGTGTCAGGCTGGGTCCCACTGATCCGTCGTCTTACGCAGGGAACTTGCTTAGTTAAACAGGCCCTGAGCACCGATGCGGCCACCTGTCTTTCCTGCTTCCTCCCTCCCTCCTTCCCTCCTCTCGGCTTTCTTTCTCTTACTCTCAAAATGGCTTGGTCCCTTCCTTCCTTCCTTTCCTCTTTCTCCTTCTCCCTGTCTTCTCTCCCCTCTTTCTTTCTTCCTTTTCTCCCTCCCTTCTTTCCTTCCCTTTTCTTCCTCTGCTTTTTCTTTCTTTTCCATCCACTTCCTCCTCTTTACCCCTTTTCTCAGCTCTTCCGGTTCTGTAGAGTTCCATTCAATTGTGTTTCCTTACCCTCTATTCTTTCCACCTCTTTTTCCTCCCCTCTCCTCCCCCTCCCTCCCTCCCTCCCTCCCTCCCTCCCTCCCTCCCTCCCTTTCTATGTGCTATAACCAATATTTATAAGGAAATGACTATATAAAGGCCATAATGTGCTTTGCTTTTTTAGTTTAGCTCTGAACATTCTAGAATCACAAACAAATGAGAAATAGCCGCTACTGTCCTTGGACACATCTTGTAGCCTCCTCCCTGAACCTCATTTTCCTTACCTATGAATTAGGAATGAGAACTTCTACCACACAGGCTTGCGGGGAACATTAGGTGAAGAGATATTTTCAAGGCAGATGTGGTAATACATATCTGAAGTCCAAGCCCTTGGGAGGCTGCTGAAGCAGGAGGCTTGTGAGTTCCAGATCAGCCTGGACTGCAGAGAGAGACGCCATTTTAATCAAACAGCCATGGAGGAACAACTGCAACTCTCTCGTGGTGACGAGACCTCCTTCCTGTCCTCCCTGCCGTTCTTCCTTCTTGCTCTCAGAGAACTCAACCACGGGTCCCCTCAACGCATCAGCTCACTAAGAGGCAGGGCAACCATTAATGCCTCTGTTTCATCTCAGAGAAATGAGCCACTGAAAAGTGACACAGCTCATCCTGGATTGTCACAGGTCCCCTGAGCAGCAGAGGTGACCAAGTACAGACCTTGGCTTCTGGCCCCACACTTGGTAGCTATCAGATTGGTTTGCATCTTTTATATTTTTAATTTTTAAAAATTTGTGTGTGTGTGTGTGTGTGTGTGTGTGTGTGTGTGTGTGTGTACACGTGTGTGGAGAGGAGCATGGACAGCAGGAGCACATATGCCAGGGATGTGTAAGAAGGTCAGAGGATGACTTGTAGGATGTTTCTCTCCTTCCACTAGGTGGGTCCCAGAGACTGACTCAGGTCATCAGGCTCGATGCAGGTGCCCTCTCCTACTGAGCATGTTGCTGGCCCTGGTTTGCATCTTATGAAATATGATTTGCTGAGAACTTTTTTAGCTTTCCAGCTATGTCCCAGCAATCATGTGCTCATCCAGTGTCACTAGAGGACATCTGACTGTGCGGATTCACAGCTTCAGCTCTTCTTCTGGGATACACAGATGTGCAGTGGGTTCCACGGAGCTGATTCTTATTCCCAGAAGCCTTCATCCAAATAGGTGACCAGAGGTCACTTGTTTCTAAGGCACAGGGCTCTTCTCATTCTGGACTTGCGTCTCTGCTCCATGGTAACCCCGATCCACTCACTCTCTAGGCTGATTACCACATTGCCTCTCAGCAGGAAATGGTTAGAGTTCTCCAAAGCTGGCTCTCTGCTCTGGGGGAAATATCCTAACCTCTCACTGTGACTCTCAAAGATAAATTAGTCAGACAAAAAGGATCAGAACTTTAAAGGAGGTGTCCATGTCCTTCTTACATAGAGAAAAACCATAAGATCCATTTTGCTCATGATCAAAGCCTTTGAGTAACTCAAAAAGCAGATTGAACGCAGTTGAAAAATAGCATTCTTGAAAGAAAACTTACCCTGAGGCTTAACAATCTTTCAAAGGAAAAGATTCTCATTTATCGTGATCAGAATTACGGGAACCAAAGAGCAATTAGTAACTGAGTAACCTTTCTTCAGAAACACCTTTTAGGTGGACTGGGGAGATGGTCCAGTTGGTAAAGTGCTTGCCATACAAGCCTGAGGACCCAAGTTCAAATCTAAAGGACCCCTGTGAAGGGCCAGGTGTTCATGCCTGTAGCCACGATGCCGGGGGACCGGAAGATGCCCCGACTCTCTGGCCAGACAGCATAGCTAGATTCAGTGAGAGACCCTGTCTCAACAATTAAGGTGAGAATAGCCGAGGAGCACATTAGACATAAAGACCTGGCCTCCACATGTATGTATCCACATATGCATATGCAACTGTGTACACACAGATCGCGCACGCACACACACACACAGCATACCACACCACACTCACCCAACACCCCCACCCACACACACAGCATACCACACTCACACACACATCAGGTCTCTCTCTCTCTCTCTCTCTCTCTCATACACACACACACACACACACCATACCACACTCACACCACATACACACACCACACACACACACATCACACACACCACACAACACTCATACACATCACACACAAACACCACACCACACTCACACGCACACACATCACACACACACACCACACACATATCACACACCACGCACATCACAAAGCACACACACACACATCACACACCCACACCTACACACATCACATACCACACACACACCACACACGCACATACACACCACAAACACACACATCACACATTGCACAACACACACACACACACACACACACACACACACACACACACACGGTTCCTTTTAGTGAGAAGGATGTCTCTGTCCTCTCCCTTCCTATCCCATCCTTCCACCCCAACTTCCTGAAGCACGGTCAAGCCTCGAGCCCGGGGGCTGCTGTCTTCAGGGTCTCTGCTCCTAATTCTGTCCTAGCGTTAAATCAAAGAGCCACATGGAACCTGTCAGCTGTTCTTCCCTTTGTTTCTCTTCTGCTGCTGTAAACAGAGTTCTGGGAAGGTAAACAATCCATACATTGAGTATAGGTGATTATTTAATGTATCTTTATTAAGTACAAGCTTATAGATAGAACCTTGCTTGAGCATATCAGACGGTCTCTTGTTCTGTTGTTAATCCAGAATCTTCCTGTGAACATCAAGTTCATCCTGGAGGGGATGGAAGAGGCTGGTTCTATTGCTCTGGAAGAACTGGTCCAAAGAGAAAAGGACCGCTTCTTCTCCAGTGTGGACTACATTGTGATTTCAGACAACCTGTGGATGAGCCAGAGGAAGCCGGCGCTCACTTACGGAACCCGGGGGAACTGCTACTTCACGGTGGAGGTGCTAGCAAGCTCTATCTGTGGGGGAGACTGGGGCTGTGGGTAGGATAGAGGAATTATTGAGGACCTAAAAGAGGAAGTCAGGAAGCTCTCACTTGGGGCTCATAGCCTGGGTGGTCACAGAAGTCTGGGGGGCTTGGAAGTATAGTTCACAAACTCCTGAAATCTCAGAGAATATGCTTGAGTGTATATTTTCCTAGAGTCCTGGATGTTTCTTTCAGAACTGTGGGTATGGGATCTGAAAGCAGGAATAATATCCTACTGAGATGACTACTTGGTCCGGTGCTAGGCTAGCATTTTGTGACCTTTCCTGTTGTGTGCCTGCAGGCCTTGGTGGCAGGGAACCCTAGTGCTGTGGTCAAAAGGAAATAGAAGGCACCAGAGTCATCATTTTATGACACTCAGCCTCGTGTAGATGTCTTTATCTCTGAGCCTTAATTTTCCATCTCAAAAGTTGGTGAAATCTCCTTCCCTCACTCCAAGACTAGTCCTCCTTTTAAATTGTTTTTCAGTAGTATAGGTAACCTATGATAGCACATATAGTTTATAATAAAAGTCCCTCTGGGTGGATCATTAGTGAGCCACTTTAGTTTTCACACATAACAGGCTGTAGATTTGCTAGTTGATGTGATGGAAGGCACCTATGAGACTTAAATGTTATGAACCAGATAGAAATATCATGGATAATTTTTGTGAAATTATGATATGTGTTTTTATCATTTTAAAAGCAGTGTTGGGGATAGAGTTCATGGAGAACACTTGATTATCTAATCTGTATGGGGCTCCAGGTTCCACTTCAGCATGATAGGAGAGAGGGAGGGAGAGGAGAGAGGGAGAAAGTAAGGAGGAGGTGGAAAAGGAAGAGAGGAGGGGAGAGGAAAAAAGGAACTAGAAAACAATGTGTTCTCTTTGTTAGATTATCTGATGTGAGGTCCATGGATAAAGGACTGATTAAATCAGTCTCGGCTTCCAGGGAGTTTACTGTAAAGAGACACGTAGTGAGAGAGATGCTGTGGGAATACTGGGAAAATAGGAAGCCAGAAGCTAGAATGTCAACAAACTTGGCTGTGAAGGAGAGACAGAGTCATGGCTGGAAGGAACACAGACTCTCTGAGAACCTTCCCAAGGCAAGAAAGAAGAGCACCAGGCACCAGGAAACCCTGAGGAGAACAGAGGCACTGAGGAGGTGGGCAGGGAGGAGAGCCTGTGCCAAGGGAAGGGTACCCACTCTTGATAAGGTATCAGGTAGATAGAGAGTAAAAATGACGGAGCATCTTGTTTTGCTGTTGGCCTCCTTTCCCCCTCTCTGGGTAGGAAGAAAGTTTACACGCAGTAAAATGATGGCCATGGGTGAAGCCGTGAGTAAGAGGGCCAACCAGAGCACATAGTGCCAGGCAGTATTAAGGGATGACATCATCTGTCCATGTAGATAGAAACGTTTGCTCTACTACCTGTGCTCTGTAGCCAAGGCCAGAGAAACCAATTTGGGTAGTTCGATGTAGGTTGTCTATTCCTGATAGCTGTGATGTAGAAGGTAGTGAAAAAAAAATGTATCAAGATGGAGACCACAGAATGGGGGAGGTGATGAGTAGTGGCACAAATAGAGAAAAATAAAATCAAAAGACAAGAGGTTGGGAAATCTTGGAAGAGCTAAGGTATTGGATGTCTTCATAAAAACCAAGAATGGACAGTGTAGTAGTCAGACATTTCTCTCCCACCTACCAGTTCCCAAATAACCACTCAGAGTACTTATAAATGCTCGACTGATAGCTCAAGCTTGTTACTAGCTAACTCTTACATTTAAATTAACCCGTAATTCTTATCTAGGCTTAGCCACATGGCTTGGCACCTTTTCTCAGTACAGCATTCTCATTTTGCTTCTCTGCATTTGCTGGCAACTCTCTGACTCCGTCCTTTCTCTTCCCAGAATTCTCCTAGTCTGGCTCTCGAGCTCAATCTCTTCCTGCCCAGTTATGGGCCAATCAGCTTTTTATTAGCCAATGGGAATAATACATATTCATAGTGTACAAAAAGATTGTTCCACAGATGTGAGACTGTCAACCCCAGCACACTTTAGTTAGTACAACTGCCTAATCAAGTGACACTCTCCATCTGGAGTGACCAAATGGGAGACTCCTCTTCCATGAAAGGTGGGGGAGAGCAGGTAAAGACTGCTGGTCAGGAATGATATAAGGAAAGGAGCTGGAGACAATGCTTAAAACCTAAGTGGTAATTGATAGAGCATGATGCTCAAGATGGAATGAAGTAACTGGAGAAGATGTTGAACTCAGTTCTAGATCTTCAAAAATGGGAAGCACGTTCAACTGGTGTACACTCTGAGCAACCAGTTTTAGGTCTGGCCTTAGAAAAAAGGTCAGAGCTTCCAGGATGACAATTGAAAGGTAAAAGGCAGTAAATTCCACTATGTGAGCCACTCCGATCTTCCAACACAAAATCAGTCATGGAAGAAGCAGTAGTGGAGGTAGAAAGAAAGGAATTATGAGAAGAGAGCTCGGGGAATGGCTCAGTGGGTAAGACTGCTTGTTGTGCAAGCATTAGGGTATAAATTGTACTTCCCAATACACATATAAAGCTGGGCATGACTATGGGTGCCTATAACCCTAGATTTGGGAAATTGGCCAGCTGGCATAGGCAAATTGGTGAGCTTCAGGTTCTGTGAGAGATCCTACCTCAAGGGAATAAAGTGGAGAGCATGAAAGAGGACACCTGACTTTCTTCTCTGGACTCTCAATGTGTATACACAATGTACATGCTTGCACACAGATACACACATACCCATACACTATCCATACACAATACACATTCACACACACACACAGAGAGAGAGAGAGAGAGAGAGAGAGAGAGAGAGAGAGAATTATTAAAAGAGGCATCAAGGAAGTTTCACTGCAAGTAAAAAGAGAAAGAAAAGCAAGTTTCCCTGAAATCAAGAGAGGAAACGTTCTCTAGAGAGATGACCTGTAGCATGGTGCAAAGCCAAGAGCAGGCCAGCTATGTGAATAGCAATAAGTCAACCAAGGAACGTCTGGTCATCTTGGATAGAATTGTGCTGGTGGAACAGTTGGGGAATAAAGTCGGTTTACAACAGAAAAGGGTAGAGTCTTCAAGTCATGTCACTGAGAAACACGAGATGTGAGGTCGGGTCTGGAGGTCACCCACCTGAGTCCTGAAGGACACCACCAGGCATAGGAACCATGGCAGGAGGTAAATTTCTACTCTTTTATCTACTTTATAGGTAAAGTGCAGAGATCAAGATTTTCATTCTGGGACCTTTGGTGGCATTCTCAATGAACCAATGGCTGACTTGGTTGCTCTTCTAGGTAATATTTCTACTTCCTTTTGTGAGCATCAGTTTTATTTAGTCTCCTTGGCCTCTGCTCCTCTGGTTTCTGAATCAGCTCTGAAAACGTTTGTAGTATAAGAAAAACTATACCCTTACCCTTTTCTCCTCTCTCTTGTGTGTTCTCTAGACTATTTATAATTAAGTCTATGTTATGTGTTATTTCTCTTCATGGACTGGAATTCTGCTTTTATTTACTTTCTATTTATTTCTTTATTTTAAAAAGTTGGCCGGGCGGTGGTGGTGCACGCCTTTAATCCCAGCACTCGGGAGGCAGAGGCAGGCGGATCTCTGTGAGTTCGAGGCCAGCCTGGTCTACAGCACAAGATCCAGGAAAGGCGCAAAGCTACACAGAGAAACCCTGTCTCGAAAAACCAAAAAAAAAAAAAAAAAAGTTGTTTATTTTGTAGACATGAACATATTTGTAGGTGCACAAATGTCTGTGTGTTAATGTGGATGCACATGTGTGCATGTGTATGTTTGTGGGCATGCATGTAGAGGTCAGAGATCAATCTTGGGTGTCATTCCTCATTCCTCAGCTGGTGTCCACTTTTATTTTTGAGACACTGGAATCTAGAGCTTACCAAGTCATCTAGACTGAGTCGGTAACAAGCCACAGGGATCCTGCTGCCTCTGCATCCCCAGTCCTGTGATTACAACTGCATGCCACTGTGTCCAGATTTTAATTTTTTTTGAGATAGGGTCTCACTATTCAGTTTTGACTGGCCTGAAGCTTCCTATGTAGACCTGGCTGACATTGAATTCATGGAGATCTGCCAGCCTGGGCCTCCCAAGTCCTTGAATTAAAGGCCTGTGCCGCCACCCCTGGTACAGCATCTGGCACTATGCTTTATACATAAACATTATATTGTTTTCTTTGGGGGCAGAAAAATTGTCAAAAGCTGCATGTAAGTCCCCTTGGCCTTCATAGTACCAGACAGAATATAAACAGTCTACATGGCCAAGATGCTGAAGGGTCTTCTCAAGGTCTTCATCAACATCTTTAGCTGTAGAATTTCCTTCCCCATGACCCAAAATTAAAATTAAACCATGAAATAAATCTACATTTTAATTATCTATCTCTCTATCTACCTTTCATCTATCTATCTATCTATCTATCTATCTATCTATCTATCTATCTATCATCTATGTATCTATCTACCTATTTCTATACATTCTTCAGTGACATTATATTTTTCTAAAATATTAATATACTTGGGCAGTATCTCATGCTTGACAATTTCAGAAAGAATATAACAAGCTTTTTTTCCTTTAAAGAATTCAGATAATATACAACTTAATCTATTGGAGCAGGGATAGTTGATCTTTTTACCATACTAATTTCTCCTTCCTTTTATCATCATCAAACAGTTATTTATTTTTCATGGACAGGATGTTACACTGTAGCTCAGGCTGACTTGGAGCTCATAGCAATCCTCCTGTCTTAGCCCCTCAGATACTGGGATCATAGGAATAAATCATCATTCCCAGTTGCACATTGCCAAATCCCAAGCAATATGTTTCAAGTTTTCCCTCAGTCATGATGACTGCGTGATATCTTGTTAGCCTGCACGGGTTTAGTCAGGCGTGGAGTTTCACTTAATTTCACAAATATGTGTTGCTTTGCTAAGGAAAAGTGTATTGGGATCATAAATGGAACAAAACCACAAGATATATTTCCATTTGCTTTTGGTACATCCCAAACAGCCCACAACAGCTCACCTTTTGGATTTACACTCCATATGCTTTCTGAGTGCTTTGTACAGAATCACAGGGATGCAAGTTTGATCGCTAGTGTTAGTCAAACCAACAGGAATTTTGCTTGCTGGTGTGTTGCTGGAGTTTTCCTGCCTGGCCCACAGTCAGGACAAATCTCTCATTTGTTGCTGGAGTTTTCCTGCCTGGCCCACAGTCAGGACAAATCTCTCTCACCCACCAGTCCCACAGCCGCTCAGACCCGACCAAGTAAACACAGAGACTTATATTGGTTACAAATTGTATGGCCGTGGCAGGCTTCTTGCTAACTGTTCTTACAGCTTAAATTAATCCATTTCCATTAATCTATACCTTGCCACATGGCTCGTGGCTTACCGGCATCTTCACATGCTGTTTGTCATCATGGCGGCTGGCAGTGTCTCTCTGACTCAGCCTTTCACTTCCCAGCTTTATTCTCCTCCTTGTCCCGCCTACACTTCCTGCCTAGCCAATGGCCAATCAGTGTTTTATTTATTGACTAATTAGCAACACATTTGCCATACAGAACATCCCACAGCACTGGTGGGTGGGGCTGGGCTGTGGTGGAGAAACTTCAACAGTAGACTAAATTCAGTGTCCTGGCTTAGGGTTCTAGCAGGTCACAATGTCTTAGGGGTGAAGTGTAATCCTAATTAGTTTTAACAATAAAAACCTGGAGTCAGATATTAGGGTGAAAGCTGAAAGATCAGAAAAGCAGAGCAGCAGCCACTAAAGAACTCCTACCTCTATGAATCCTCAGACCAAATGGGGGGCCTGTCTCCACCCTCCTTCTATTCCTGTCTCATCTCCCTTGTGCTGGGATTAAAGGTGTGCACCACCACCACCACCACCACCACCACCACCACCACCTGGCTGTTTCTCTTTTAGACTGGTTCAATCTTGTGTAGCCCAGGGTGGCCTTGAACTCCTGATCTTCCTGCTTCCTCCTCACAAGTGCTGGGATTAAAGGAGTTGCCACTGCTGCCTGGCTTCTATGGTTAACTAGTGGCTAACTCCACCTTCCTGGAGATTTCCAGGCAAGCTTTATTTGTCAGAACACAAACAAAACATCACACAACATGGGGGAGCTGGTTGTCCTTCCCTGATGACTGACGGAGTGCATGTTCACCCGGGGCTGAGAATCTAGAACCAGCCTGACTTTATGCAAGTCTCTGTCCTTCATCATCCTCTGTCATTCATCATGCTGGCATGACGCTGGTGGCCATCATGATTACTAACAGTAACAAATGTTCACTGGACACAAAGTGGGTAAAGCCCATGATAACCTCTGCTAGGGGGACACTATACAATTGAATAAGCCTGAAAATTTCATGGGTTGGGTAGGCAAGAATAATTGAATATTTGTGCTCACAGATAAATCTCCAACCACCAATGGCTTCTCCTTTCCAATTTTCTACTTGGCAACTTTTAAAGGCCATGAGGACAGTTGGAGAGACCATTGACTAATGAGTTCTCTTTTCTTCCTACTGTTTCTTTTGTTTTGTTTGTTTGGTTTTAGACAAGGTCTCTTAGAGTCTAGGTTGGTCTCAAACACAATATGTAGCCAAAGATGGCTTTGAGGAGCCAGAGAAGGAGGAGGACATCAGGGGCCAGCCACCCAGCTACACAGCAAGCCATGGAGTAGAGAAAGATTTACAGAAGAGAACAGAAAAAGCCCAGAGGCAAAAGGTAGACAGGATAAGTCAATTTAAGGAAAGATAGCAAGAAACAAGCCGGGCTGGAGAGATGGCTCAGCGATTAAGAGCACTGGCTGTTCTTCCAGAGGTCCTGAGTTCAATTCCCAATTCCCAGCAACCACATGGTGGCTCACAACCATCTGTAATGAGATCTGGCACCCTCTTCTGGCCTGCAGGCATACATGCAGGCAGAACATTGTATACATAATAAATAAATAAATAAATAAATAAATAAATAAATAAATAAATAAGCCAAGCTAAGGCTGGGCATTCATAATTAAGAATAAGCCTCTATGAGTGGATTTATTTGGGATCTGGGTGGTGGGCCCCCCCAAAAAGAGCAAAAAGCAAACAATTTATGGATTTGAACCATATGGTACACTGTGTTGTTCACTGGGCTGGTGAAGGGTTTGTGTAACTCAGAACTGGAAGCACAACAGTCTTCAATACTATCATGTAGTGCAGTCATAGAAGGAATAGAAGTCTTGGGGACGCTCTGTGGACAGGAGAGGGTCAAAGGAGGAGCTGATGAAACACAGAGGACTGATGCCTTCCTAAGCATTCCACTGTCTTGACCCACTTGCTCCTCAAGTTTGGCTTCCTATGATCACTTTCTGGGAAACTGCTGTCCTTTGGTAGACTTTGTTAAGCATTTGTTGACTTTCATTGTGTCTACATAGAACCAAAGAACCTGTTGATACATCTCCATGAGGCTGTTACTTTGTTAGAGATGGTGTCTTAGTAACTGAAGGTGGCAGGCATCTTCTGGTTTCCCAGCACCTACTGCAGAGGGTGTGTCCAACATGCGACATTAAGGCGTCCAAGTCCACTGTCTCCACAGGTGCTTTGTAATTAATGACACTGATCTAAAGCTTTGCTATGTATCCTAGGCTCTCCTCAAACTAACCATCCTCCTGCCTCAGCCTAGTGCTAGGATGACAGTCATACACTACTACTCCAGACTTAATAGTTGTAAAATAGAGTGCTTTGGAGTATAAAGATCCTACTCTGTTAATGTCAAATTCTAATCATATTAAGAATACAGAACACACACTTGTGAAATGCCGTTCCTTAAATAAATGTGCCCAGCTGGACTAATTTTGTGTGAGTTATATCGATGAACTTCCTGATTGTAATTTCCCTTTGATATGTATTTTCTTTGAGTGTGTGTGCATGTGTGAGTGAGTGAGTGAGAAAGAAAGAGAGAGAGAGGAGAGAGAGAGAGAGAGAGAGAGAGAGAGAGAGAGAGAGAGAGAGAGAGAGAGTTGAGAAAAATTTTGGGTAGTTTCAGTTTCTTGTGCAAGTGTGTATATATGCATGTGTAAAATATATACATTTCAACTATTTAATAATTTATACCTATTACTTCATAACTCAAGATAAGATAAAATACAAACAGGAGGCTTGCTTGTGAAACAAATGATATAGCATAGCTGAGAACTTAACTTTTTGCAGACCCGTGTCTCGGCCCTGCCCTTGAGGCCAGTCTGCCTTGTGACCACTTCCTTCTTGGGACCATAATCTCTTGGGTAAAGGGAAATGCTGCCACTGATTCTGGCCAGGGACAGAGGCAGTCATGAGTGTTTTGCCACAGAGGAGAATCTTATCTGGGCTGGCCCTAGGACCACAGCATTGGCACACTTGTAATTTCTGCATCTATTTTATAGGTAGCCTGGTGGATTCATCGGGCCACATCCTGATTCCGGGAATCTATGATCAAATGGCTCCTCTTGCAGAGGAGGAAAAAACACTGTATGAAAACATTGATCTGGACCTAGAAGAATACCGGAAGAGCAGCCAAGTGGAGAAATTTCTGTTTGACACCAAGGTATAATCTTAAATGCACCCATGTTCTGAAAGAGGAACGCTCCTCCCAAATCATGTTTTCCCAGTGTCTAATCGGCACCACGCAGTGTTGATCTGTGCGTCTTTGAACACAAGGCAAAGGTTAAATCCCGGGCAGATTTTGATATCCATAGTCACTTTCCTTTGGTCTAGATCAGCCAGTCCTAGGGAGCAGTTGGTACAGGCTTCAGGCATCTAACCGTGAATAATGACTCATTCGACACTGGTGTCTTTCCACAGCAGTTTATTAATTTAAATCCCATTCCACTTCCTCAGGGAGCTGAGCTTTCCGAATGTTCAAAGATTGGGAGCCACTGCCTGAGACACTGGCTCCAACACCTGTAATTGTTCACTTTCTCAGGCGTTACCAAGACCTTTCAGGGCTGATGGGCAAGCCAGAGAGCATCCCTCCTTTGTGCTGTGAAGAAGCTTAGAACTTGGAGCAGAAATTCCTGAAGAATTTAAAATTTTTGTTTGTTTTCTTTTTTTTCGTTTTTTCTTTTTCTTTTTTGTTTTTAGAATACTTTGCCTGCTGAGGGCTGAAGAGATGACTTAATGGTTAGGGGCATGAATTGCTCTTGCACAGGACCTGAGTTCAATTTGCAGCATGCCAATTGGGAGGCTTACAATTACCTGTAACTGTACTTCTTGGAGATCTGACATCCTGTTCTTGCCTCTTTGGGCACTGTACCACGTTCACATGGGCACAACTCACTCTCTCTCTCTCTCTCTCTCTCTCTCTCTCTCTCTCTCTCTCTCCACACACACAACTAAATAAACTAAAAAAAGAAAATCTTTTTTTTTTAAAAAAAAGAATGCTTTCTTGCTCAGGTATTGGTACCTGTGTTTGATTCCCCAGGAACTGCCCAGAGAGGGCAAAACCTTGATGATAAGTGGTATGGATATCTCTGGGACTGTAGTCCTTCCCTCAGACTAAGTTTGTGAAAATTCACAAGAAAGAAATTGGCTCAAATATTGAAGATTTATTTAGGGATTTCTGAAGAATGAAATTTGCTACATTCATTATCAGTGTATAACCCTGGTTAGAAATGGATATAGTTTCTTTCTAAACTATTTTTCCATTATTATCATTATTATTAATGTAGTGTGTGTGTGTGTGTGTGTGTGTGTGTGTGTGTGTGTGTGCACACGTGTGACACACGTGGAGCCAGAGGGCATCTTTCAGGAGTCATTTCTCTCCCTCTACCTCACGGAGGCAGGACTTTCTTTTTGGTTCTGCCACTCTGCATACTCCAGGCTAGCCCCTGAGCTATCTCTGCCTGTATTCCTACAGAAGCGCTGGGATTACAGGTGTGTGTCTCCATGTCGGACTGTTTGAGTTGGGTTCTGGGGATCAAACTCAGGTTGCCAGGCTTCTGTGGCAAGTGCTTGTACCCACTGAGTCATCTCGTTGGCTCTGGATTCAGTTTCTGAAGCAGCCCCTCAGACAGGAAGACGTTCTGGGCAGGGCAGCAGCATGGGCAGTATGGGCAGCAGGGGGAAGAAGCCTCATGTCCTGCCTGTATTATTAGTCCAGACATAGCTAACTTGATGCTAATTAACTGGTCATGAGTGGGTCTCAGGGACACGGATGTTGGAGATCTGAGCAATTTAATTCAGCTGAGGTCTATTTTATTTACAGTGCTAGGGGAATGCCCCCAGGCCTTTGGGCATCCTAATCAAGTGCTCTACTATTGAGCTATATCCCTAATCCTTTCTTCATTTATTCACCTATCTATCTATCTACCTATCTGTCTGTCTGTCTGTCTGTCTGTCTATCTATCTATTTATTTTGAGACAATGTCTCACTATGCATCCCTGGTGGGCCTGAAACTCATTATGTGAACCATGTTGGCTGACCTTGAACTCAGAGAGATCTGCCTGCCTCTGTGCTGGGATTAAAGGTGTACGCAACCACACCTGGTTTGGGTTTTTTTTTTTTTTCTTTTGAGACAGGATCTCTTCTAGCTCAGGCTGGTCTCATACTCACTAAGGAGCCAAGGATGATTTTGAATTTCTGATTTTGTTGCCTCCACCTTCCAAATGCTAGACTGCAGGCATCTACCACTAGGCCCAGACCATGTGGTACTGGGGACGGAACCCAGGGCTTTGTGCACGGTAGGCAAGCACTGTAGCCACCTGAGCTACAGCCCCAGCCCTCCTCTGAGCTTTAGTCATATGTTCTTTGCATGACTTAGGAGGAACTCCTGATACACCTATGGAGGTATCCGTCTCTCTCTATCCACGGCATCGAGGGTGCGTTTGATGAGCCTGGAATAAAAACAGTCATCCCCGGTCGAGTCATCGGAAAATTTTCAATCCGCCTAGTCCCTCACATGAATCTGTCTGTGGTGGAAAACCAGGTAACAAGTGTCTGCTGTCACTAGGCCCAGCAGAGCCACTTCTGAGTCCCGTACACCACGGCAAGTGGAGCCATTCTATGGTTATTACCGAAGTTACTTTTTTTCCTAACACAAAAGAACGGAACAAACGTCAAGAAGCCAGCGTCAGCCTTACTCTGTGCAAACCTCTTTCCTCAGTTACAGAAGCCAGATAAATAGCCACTTGAAGTTGCGATGATGGGAAATTTTTAAAAATTAGATGTTAGCTATAAAGGCAAGATTGGTTTTACACGTAGATGGAGTAGGTAACTGGCCACACTTGGCTGGAGCTGGAAAACCTCAAGCCCGATCATTTGTTAGCTCATGATAGTTGAAGCCAGAGTGTGGAAGGCAGCCACTGTGAGGAAAGTGCTCTCTGAAGGAGTTATCTGTCTGAGTTATCAGCCCATTATCAATTTACCTCGAGTTGGTTTAGCAGGAAATAGACTCCTGAATCAGAGAGCTCAGGAAATACCTCCATGCCTCCCCGAGCTCTCAACTCTCTTGTCCCCTTTTCTTATCTTGTGCTCTAATTGCATCCTAAAAGTCTCCTCCCCTCTCCAGTCAGTCCTCCCCTCTCCCCTCAGTCCTTCCTTCTCCCCTCAGTCCTCCCTTCCCTCTCCCCTCAGTCCTCCCTTCCCTCTCCCCTCAGTCCTCCCTTCCCTCTCCCCTCGGTCCTCCCTTCCCTCTCCCCTCGGTCCTCCCTTCCCTCTCCCCTCGGTCCTCCCTTCCCTCTCCCCTCAGTCCTCCCTTCCCTCTCCCCTCGGTCCTCCCTTCTCCCCTCAGTCCTCCCTTCCCTGTCCCCTCAGTCCTCCCTTCCCTTCTCCCCTCAGTCCTCCCTTCCCTCTCCCCTTGGTCCTCCCTTCTCCCCTCAGTCCTCCCTTCCCTCTCCCCTCAGTCCTCCCTTCCCTCTCCCCTCGGTCCTTCCCTCCTGCTTCCTTCCCTTTAGGAAACACCACTCTTCTATCTTATGGATACACACTCCACAAGGGCAGGAACTCCCTTGTCTCCTTCGCAGCTACATCCCCAGCACCCTGGTGCTAATGAGTGCTAGCTGAAGGAATGAAAGGAAGCTGTGCTTCTGAGGCTGGAGCCCACCGGAAGGGTTTCCTCAGCAGCCATTGGAAAGGAGTAAAGCCCTTTCTTAACATGTCTCCTTCACCGTTTAGCTTGGAATTGCTCCCACTTTTCAGAATTTTCGAGAATGTGTAATGTCTCCCAAAGCGTCATTAGAGTGTTACTAGATCAAAAACCAAAGACACGGCAATTGAGGAGCTGTATGTGGATTATGTTTCATAATCTCCAGCAAACATCACTCAGCTAACACTATGGATCAGGGACTGTGCAGGTACACGGGTTGAAGGGCAATTAGAGCACATATTTCCCCTCTGGATAAAGCCCAGAGCCTTGGAAGCCCCTGTTCACTGTTACACACCCAGTGTCACTGTTACACACCCAGTGGCGTACCTAAAGGCTCACGATGCTCCAACTCACCAGGTCAGGGTTTCCTCTGGTTTCCGGGTGGAAGACTGTACCCACTGCCCAAGCAAAGCCCAGCATTCTACTTGTTATTGACAGTGTCACCTTCTAGGTGAAGCAGCATCTCGAAGTTGTGTTCTCCAAAAGAAACAGTTCCAACAAGATGACTGTTTCTATGGTAGTAGGACTCCACCCATGGACTGCAAACATCAACGATGCTCAGTACCTCGCAGCAAAAAGAGCCATTAAAACAGGTGGGCCTTACAGATATTTTGATTCACCTGTTTGCAGCGGGGCCAAGGTACTTTTAAGACTCAAATATCAACTGTCCTCTTTATCCAACGTGTATCACTTGCAGTTATCTAGAGGGACAGAACCAATAGAATAAGTATATATAAAAGGGGATTTATTGGGCTGCCTTTTGTTACACAGTCTGGACTTTCCAACAAGGGCTGCCTCACATTGGAGAGATCAAGAACTCAGTAGTTGCTTAGTCCCTGAGGCTGGGTGCTAACCTGGTTCTAAAGGCCTGGAAGATTCCTGGAGACCTACTAGTCTTCTGACTACATTGAAAGCCCAGAGGGGCTGGGTTCTGGTAGCAAAGGAAAGCAGAAACAGCGTTGATGAACTTGACAGCAGGAAGAAAGGTGAACAGGAAAAAAAATGCTTCCTTTTTCTGTTCTTTTCTCTGTCTCCTTTATCCAAGTCACCAGAAGGTGCCATCCACATCTCAGGGATGTGTGTGTGTGTGTGTGTGTGTGTGTGTGTGTGTGTGTGGGTGTCTTCCCACCTCAGATGACCTGATAAGAATGTCCTTCAATGGAGTACCCCATGGCTTCCCTGTTAGTTGATTTCAGATTCAGTCAAGCTGACAACTAAGATCAACCACCACACAGGGCACAGTATTGTGTGCACAGGATGTTTCTTACCTGATACTTCTGTAGTCATCACAACAGCCTTCTCCAGTTTACAGAGGAAATGAAGGCTTACAGAGATGAAGTAATTTGTGAAAGAGAACTGTGCTAGTTATTTTTCTCATCACCATGAGAAGTACCTGGAGGAAACAACTTGAGAGGGAATGGATTTACTTTGTCTCACAGTTTCAGAGGTTTAATCCATCATAGCAGGGGAGATACGATGGGGTATTTCAGCTCCTATAAAGACAGTGAAAGGAGGAATTGCAACAGAAGGCATGCCACAGGACATCTTCACAGTGGATGTAAGAGGCCATGCTCCTCCATGACTTGATATGATGGTTAACAATTCCTGGTGTAAGGAGAGATTTTTCTTTGGTGTTGTAGCTACCTGCAAGTTGTCCATGCTCTTGCAACTAACACCAATTGAACTCATTTGGACACCAAGCTAGTCTTGGGTAGAATTGTTTTTCTTATGTTGGTGCCTTGACTAGAGTGAATGAAATTTTTTCAGGAAAAGTCTTACAACAATAGTAGATAAAATATACCATTGTTAAGTCAGGCAATGGTGGTGCATGCCTTTAATCCTAGCACTTAGGAGGCAGAAACAGGTGGATCTCTGTGAGTTCAAGGCCAGCCTGGTCTACAGAGCTAGTTCCAGGACATCCAAGGCTATACAAAGAAACCTTATCATGAAAAAACATGTATATATATAAAGAAACATATATCACTGTTAATTTCTGATTCTTGATTATTGCACAATAGTTACATAAGATGCTTACATGGAGGAAAGAAGAGTTAGTGCTATATAGGAATGCTGTGTATGTTATGTTTGCAATTTCTCTCAATTCTAAAATTTTCACCTTGGTTCAAAATTAAAAATTTAAGCCAAGTATGGTCACACACACTTTTAAGTCTATCACCTAGGAGGCAGGGGGATTTTGAGTTTATCAGAAGTCTGAACTATATCATGAATATCATGATATAGTTCATGAGTTTATCAGAAGTCTGAACTATATCATGTCAGCTTGGGCTACATGACAAGATCCCAAGAAATAAAGAAAGGCACACATTACTGTACTCAAGGTTAGTGACAGGTAGTCTTGTCATCATTTAGTCTACTGCCCCCTTTTTCTGTGTTTCAGTGTTTGGAGTAGATCCTGATATGATCCAGGATGGGTCAACCATTCCAATTGCTAAATTATTCCAGGCTATTACACAAAAGAGTGTAATGATGCTCCCGTTGGGGGCTGTGGATGATGGAGAGCACTCTCAGAATGAGAAGATCAACAGGTGAGCTGACCCTGTGAAGGTGGGGAATTCATGGGGGCCTGTCCATTAGCCTTGTATGAGACAAGACAATAATAGACCTGGTGGCCTAAAGACTTGATGGTTATCTCCCCACAGTTCCTTAGGTTGGGAACACCAGGTTAAGCCTAGTGTCTTAGTTAGGGTTTCTATTGCTATGAAGAGACACCATGACCATGGCAACTCGTTTAAAGGAAAACATTTAGTGGGGTGGTTTACACTTTCTGAGATTTAGTCCATTATCATCATGGTGGAACATGAAAGCATGCAGGCAGACATGGTGCTGGAGAAGGAACTGAGAGTTCTATATCTTGATCTGCAGGCAACAGGAAGTGAACTGTGTCACTGGGTGTAGCTTGAGCATAGGAGACCTCAAAGCCCACTCCCACAGCGACACACTTCTTCCGACAAGGCCACATCTACTCCAACAAAGCCACACCTCCTGATAGTGCCACTTCTTTGGGGGACATTTTCTTTCAAACTACCACACCTGGTCTCAGACTACTGCCTTCCTGGTGTGTCCTCATGTGGCAGAACTAGAGCTAAGGGGGAGAGGGAAGTAGTGAGGAGGAGGAAAGGATTGGTCCTGCCTGCAGGCAAGCAAGGGGCTCTGGTGTTTCTTCCCTGGTACACTCACCAGCGCCATCGGATTATGGCACATTCTCAGGCATCATTTAACTGAATCATCTTTTCATTGGAAGGTCCCTCCAGTGTTTGCTCATGGCAGGTTAGGGCCTCAACATACGGATTTGGAGGCTGTGACATTTGGTGCATAACAAAGAATATTTAGCAACGCTTGATATGAACATATTGACAGATTATATGAACCTCCAAATAAGTGAGAAACAAGAATGGTTGACTCTTCAATCCCTGTCATGTCAAAAATAAGAAGCCAGAGAAACTCTGAGAAACTCAAGAAAGCCATTTGGGACAGTGCATTCCAGGAATCCTAGCACCCAAAGAGACTGAGGCAGGGGGATAAAGCAAAAACCAAAGATAATGGGCACTTCTGTAGTTGAGTCCGAGATTAATTCCCTCCTTTCCTTTCTCCTCCTCCCTACCTTCTCCTCCCCTCTCCCCCCTTTTCTTTCTTCTGCTTGCTATCCTGAGACAGAATCTTGTTCTGCACCCCTGGCTGGCCTGGAAAGTTCTGTGTAGACCTCTGAGGTTGCAGCAATCATCTTGCCTCTGTTTCCAAAAGCTGGGATTACAGGTGTGCAAACCACATCTGGTGATCTTATCTTCTGATCTCATCTTTTTAATAATAATGTCATTCTTTTGGATTAACAAGTGATTTTGATCCTAGGATCTCAAAAGCATGCTAAATACTAAATGCTAATGCTAAATACAGAAGCAATCTAAATATTTTAGATTGACTGGATTTATACTACATACAATTTTTCTGTGGACATGGTTAGCTGCTTTTCCTTCATTTGTGATTGGAAATGTGTTTCCTTGTTTATATTTCTGTTAGGTGGAACTACATACAGGGGTCCAAATTATTTGCTGCCTTTTTCCTGGAGTTGTCAAAGCAGCACTCATGAGAACAGGTGCCGTCCAGTGTCTTCTGACCCACTGACAGATCTCTCCACTCAGACCCTGGGCAAAGCTGGAGCTGGAAAAATTCAGATAATGTCAATCCAGGAAAGTATTTGTTCCTCCCCATTTACAATGTCTTGAGACATTTGGACCAGTAATAAAACATGTGAAAGACACAGACATTGAAACGGTTTAACATTCCTTCTGTCACTTACCTTCCCAAAGTCACAGCAACCTGAACCTTCACTCCCCCAAATCCAGTGCAGCCGGCTGGAACTGGAATCAGCACAACCTCCCAGCACAAGTGGGACACTTCTTCAGCCATTTAGATTCTCGCTCAATCCTCCAGTTTACTGGTAGGCCCTGAAGAACTATGGTGCCCAATCCTTCCACCCAGGATCTCAGGTCCTGAACCACTTTTTGCCTCTGTTCTCTTAATAAGGAAAGCAATGGCTTCCACCACTGGCTACAGTGATTTCCCCATGGATTCATTTTTAGAAAAGTTACTGGGGCATGCCACTGTATTAACTTCCTGCCTCCGCCTCCCTTTGTTTTTTTTTTTCCCTCCAATTTCTTGAACATTCTGACGCTGAAATGATCAATATTCATATCCACACACCATTTGGAATCGTTGTGATTTTCTTTAATTCCAAACTTCCTCGCCTTTGCCATGATTGATGCCATCTGCTCATTCCTCTGCTCCCATTCTTCCCAGCCCATCAATAAAGCCCCACTCCCTGCACACATGCATACCTGCCATCCTACCGGCAGAATTTGCCCAGATAGGATTTCTCTCACCCCATTGAAATTTTACTCAGTGACTATATCTGAATTGGTCAAAGCTTTTAATAGCATCAGCATTAGATGGAGAACTAATCAACCCTGACATCAGCAAGACACTCTCAATCTAAAGCCCTCTGCTAAATCTGCATTCATTAATCATTTTAGTTCATCATCTTGTTTGACTTGATTAGGCTTGATGGTGTAAACACTACAAAAAGCTAATCTTTTTTTACAGTTGAGTATATATAAATAAACCAATCTTGATAAATTCATTATTTATATCATATTAATAGAAAAGCACTTGAAGGCTTAGTTTTTTAAATGCTTCTCTTGTGGTTCCAAATGAAAACAATCCATAACATGTTTTCCTTCATCTGCTAGCTATTGAAATATCACTTTTCAAATCTGCTGGATCACATTAAAGTTTGGTGGCTGAGGAGATGACTCATTGGGTGACATGCTGGCTGCACAAGCATGGCATCCCTGGTTTGGGTTTCCAGCACTCACACACAGCTAGGTGCAGTGACAAACAGTTATAATCCCAGCACTAAAGGACATGACAGTCAGGTGGGCGCTCACCGCCAGCTTGTCTAGCTGGTTGGTGAGCTCTAGGTGTTGTGAGAGACTAAACAATACTATATTCATTAATCTCATCCCTGCAGGTTCCATGAGACCAACAGTGTCTTGGTTAATAACACAGGAGGGAAGGGGAGGAGGGTAGAGAATTGGACCTAGGAAATGCCAATCTTGCAGAGTCCAGAGTTCATATTTCTCTGCCATCCATGGTCTGAGTGAACTCAGTGAGTCTCTTCAAGTTCTCCACCCCACTCTGAGCCACGTGGCTGCCCCAGCTTGGCTGCAATGTGAGATCCTAAAAGAAAGTATCATTAAAGTTCATTACACATACAGAGAGGTAAGAAAACCATCCTAGTTACTGGTCAAGCCAATTAGCCAGTTATAAGGAGGCAAAAAATTGAGGGTAACTAAAATTTTAAATATTGGTTTTCAAATTTTTATTAAGTAAATATGTGCATACAGGTTACATGATTATTCCATATATCCTATCCTGGGGCATGTTGTAATATTCCTGTCTTAAGAGTTTCTACTCCTGTGAAGGGGCATCATGATCATGGCAACTCTTATAAAAGAATTCATTTAATTGGGGCTTGCTCACAGTTCCAGAGGGTTACTACATTACCATCATAGTGGGAATATGGTAGCATGCATGGCAGGCATGGTGCTGAAGAAGGAGCTGAGAGCTAATCCTGCTCTGCAGACAGGTGCGGGACAGGGGTGGGGAAGCTAGTATGGGTTTTTTTTTGTTTTTTTTTTTTGGTTTTTTGAGACAGGGTTTCTCTGTGTAGCTTTGCGCCTTTCCTGGAACTCACTTGGTAGTCCAGGCTGGCCTCGAACTCACAGAGATCCGCCTGCCTCTGCCTCCCGAGTGCTGGGATTAAAGGCGTGCGCCACCACCGCCCGGCTAGTATGGGTTTTTAAAACCTCAAACCCCACACCCAGTGACATGTCTTCTCCAACAAGGCACCTCCTAATCCTTCCAAACAGTTCTTCAACTGGGGACCAATCAAGCAAATGTATGAGTCTATGGGGGCAGTTCTCACTCAAACCACCACAATATCAATTGGGTACAACCTTACTGTATCATAAGAGGGCAATATATCAAGCTTAGCTCGTATTTGTAGTATACTAATGTGGAAGTATTGTGAAGTTAGGGCTCTGAGAACCAACTGGGCATTCTAGATGCTCTGGAGGAAATTAAGAAGAACTTGGAATGTTTGGGTTCCATGCTGTATTCATAAAAATAGAATGTAATAGTCTGGAAACCAGATGTGAGTGTCCACTGGACTGTGTAAGAGCTGTGATCATAGCCATCTCTCTGCAGATGAGCAGGGAGAGGAGAGTAAGTCAGGAAACACAGAGGTCCTGCTCCAACCCTCTTCTTCTTGCTCACACTAGGCACATCCAGTACTCCTCTGGTTTTTGTATTAACCTAGTGGCCAGCTGGCCCCCTCATCTGAGAACCAAATCCCCCAGTCTTCTGCCTGTTTCATATTGGACACACTGATCATCCATACATCATGGACATTTGCTCACCCTAAGCCTGTTTCCTCTCTGGAGTGCTTCACTTCGGCGAATAGGCAACCGTCTGGGTTATGGCAAAGCCTTGGAACTTCCTTCACATCTATCTTAACTCCATTTCCCAAAAGCCACCACTTCCTTCTATTTCTACTATCTTTCATAGCTCCAAGCCCAAACTGCCACAGCTTTTGTTGGCTTTTTACAGAGGTTCCTTCCTGGTTTCTGCTTACACAACAGCTTTTGTTGTTGTTGTTGTTGTTGTTGTTTGTCACACTGAAGATTAAGTATCATTCTGATTCAGCAGAAGACCCTGGAGTGGCAATGAGATCTTAGAATGATCACAAGGTTTCCCTACAATCACCCCCATGCACTCTGCTAGCCTCACCCTCCCTTTCTAGCTGTGTCCCAACAGCCCCGATCTCCTAATCCTTCCAGTCCCTCAACAATTAAGAGTGGCCTTAGAGGCTCCTCATTGTCTGCTGTTTCCTGAGACACTCACACTAACCCCTGGGGGCTGGATAGTGCTGTTCCCTCATTAATTCTCAGATATCGGCTTAGTGTGTGCTTACACACGAGTGCCACCACAGGACAACTTGTGGGAGTCAGTTCTTTCCATTGACCATGTGGATTTGGGGGCTCAAACGCAGGTCATCAGGCTTGGTTGAAGCACCATTGATCCAGCTGTAATGGTGTCTTCATCTATGCACACATATGTGTGTACAGGTACATGTGCACACCTGTGTGCATTCATGTAGAGGTCAGAGGTTGATATTGAGTTTTTTCCTCAGTTGTTCTCTACCTTATATTTTGGGACAGGGTCTTCTCCTAAACTTGGAGCCCCAAGATTTAGCTAGACTGGCTGACCAGCAAGTACCGAAGATCCTCGAGTCTCTGCCTTCTCTGCAGGAATATTCACAGTTCTTACCCAGCTCGGGGGAGCCCCAGGGATTGTGGGATATTTTGATTGTGTTCTGATGAATAAAGCTTGTTTGGAGTCAGAGGGCAGAACTAGCCACTAGGTGACCATAGAGATTTGAAGGACTGTAGACAGAGAGGAGACAGGAAGTGGTACGGTGGGGGCTGAGAGAGGATCTCTGCCTTTTTGGATAGAGGAATGGAAGCGGTGGGAAGCAACTGGTGGCTGCCCTTTGTTCTCTGATCTTTCAGGTTCTTACCCCAGTATTTGACTCCTGATTTTTTATTGATAAAGATTAATGAGATTAATGCTTCACACAGATGTCCTGTATGGGTCACCCGAGCTACTCTGATTGAAGAAAGCAATGATCTTGTCCAACTCAAAGGAAACAGTCACCCAACAGAGGTCATTCTTTAAGTCAGTGGCCACAGAGTAGCTTGTGTAGACAAGACCCCTGAGACATGAGCATCACAATATCCTAAACACTTTTCCACGGAATGCCAATATTTCAAAATTGGCAGATTTCACAATTACTCAAACAACCAACACATGAGTTGATCCAAGAGTTACGTTGAGTAATCATCCAATTGGATAAGGGCAAGCTGAGCTGAGTCTGCATCATTGTAAGGTCCACACATGTTGGAGCCCACTAGGTTTCCTAGTGGCTATACCCAGCAGGACTGCATAAGAGGTTGATTGGACCACGGACCTGGGTACCAGGTGACTGTAACTAGCAAGGGGGAGGTCTTTTGCGCCATTCCTTGGCATTGTTATAAATAGACCTTTGGAATAAAGTTCTGGGCCAGTCGATAAAGATCCAGGCCCACTCAAGTCTGTCCTGTGTTTTCTGTTTCTTTACTCTCTATTTCTAACAAAGTCTCTTATCCCTCATTCCTCAAGAGTTCCTGAGGTAAATAAGTGTGGGGGCTGGTCCGCCACACACACACACACACACACACACACACACACACACACACACAGCACCTGACCCAGAATCAGAGTCCGTTGGATTTCTCACAAAGTGAAGCCCGTACTGTGCCATCTGCCTTCTCACTTGTGTGGGTACATCGTTTTGCCTATAAGCAATGTCCCAAACAAACTCTGTTACATGGCAGAACCAAAGGACTATCTAATGCTATTTTAGTAAACAGGACACTGCACTACTTTAGAAGTCTAATAGTAAGTGAATTCAACATAAAATAAATATTTTAAAGGCTTGTTTTTATTTATTCGTATATGTATGTCTCACTGATTCATGAACACGTGCAGGTGTATGTGGAGGTCAGCAGAGGGCATCAGATCCCTTGGAGCTGGAATTATAAGTGACTGAGTTGTCTGTAGGTGCTGGAAACTGAACTCCTGTCCTTTGCAAGAGAAGCAAGTGCTCTTAGTCACTGAACCACCTCTCCTGATCCAAATGTTAAATATTTAAATAGCATTTTTTCAATTTAAGTTTGAGTACTTTGAATGTGTAGTAGCTAATGAAATAATGAATGTTTTAGATCTTGACTATGTACAACAATGTAAAATATGTAAATATGCCTATAGTTAATGTAGTATAGCTTGTTGACTTATGATGCCACTGTCACTCATAACATGAAGATTTAAACTGAAAGTTTCCACTGTTTGTTTTGCCCTTTCATTCATCAAGTCTGCAACTTTACATTCACACTGTAGACTCTTCACCAAGGATGAAAGATAACTTCCACTCTGCAATGATGAAGAAAGCCTTTTCAAAGTGCGATCCTGGGAGGGAGACTGGGTTGGGTATGTTTTGTACTTTGCTCAGCTGCCCAAGAGCTTTATGATGGGTAAACAAAGCCAGGAACACACGAGGGTTTTCTTCAGGGATGGAATGGTACGTTCTTTCCACAGAATGATTTATAAGGAAAATGATGGTAGATATAATGACTATAATTTCTTAACAGTTATGATAAGTAAATAAATGTTCCTGAACTATTTTAATTTGGGTAGAAGTGAAGAGGAAAAAATGCCATTATGTCGACAAATCTTATTTTAAAACACTATTCTAGTGTAATTCCTTATTCTAGATGGGGAAAAAAACATGTCAGAGAAATTAAGCCTTTCACTATAGTAGAAAATATGAAGTTTTAAATTATCCTACCTCCCACATTGAAATTCACCAAAACAGCATTCAAAAAAGAGCTAAGATTTAAAATTCTAGTGTGGGTGTTTAACATACATATTCACACTGTTATTGTAAGTAGGCATTTGGATGTTATAACAAAAATGTGTCAGGGAACTAGAATGTTAGATGACTGTGGAATTAGTCATGAGGAATGACCAACCTTCCTCTTGAATTGTAAGTTATTATTATCAAATAAACGGCGCTATTTAAAGTCCCTTTACACCCCCACTTTCAGAACCAGAAGGCAGAGATCTGGGATACTTCAGCAGGTAAAAATAGGGATACAAGGTTCTGAAAAGGAGAGCCTCAGAGGAAAACACTGACTTCTGCATACTCTGCCTCAATCACCGGGTGAGGTAGGTCGGATCCCTCTAGGGAAGGATGGAGGAACTAGGTGGGACTTGACTGTTCACCATGGCAGAGGAAACAAAGCTTGAAGTGAAAAGACGGACTCCATGACTGCCTGTTAAAACAACGCAGGCCACCAAAGCTCTCCAGTGCTCATTAGGGGACAGAAGGAACAGGATGGCCATGTGACCATAACGTGTCCTCCTGACTGGACATCATTACTGCTGTCTTTATTGAGAGGAGTTAGGATCATCTCAATGAGGCCTTTACCAGACTACTGAGCTTTGCAAATTTCCTACAAGGGGCTGGTGAGATGGCTCAGCAGGTAAGGGTGCCTGCTGTGGAGCTTAGCAGCCTAAGTCTGGTCCCCTGGACTCACATGGTGGAAGGAGAGAGCCAACTTCCACAAGTTGTCCTCTGACCCCCCATACATGTGCTATGGCACATGCACTCGTGAACACCACACACACACACACACACACACACACACACACACACACGTTTAAATAAATTCCTATAAGGAGGGAGGGGGAAAACTCATGAGGCCCCTCCTCAAGGATAGATAAGTGGTAATCAATTGCACACAAGAAGACACTCTTTAAGAAACATATTTTTATTAATCCTTGAGAATTTCATATGTTTTTTAATCATATTCATCCCCTAGTCCTCCTTCCACTTCTCCCAGATCCACTTACACCTCCCACTCCCTCAACTTCATGTCCTTTTTGTTTAATAATATGTAAGTTCAATCGTTGCTGCCCATATACTCCTGGGTGTGAG